TTTTAAATTATTTTAATATATGTCGAAAAGCAATTCTACAAAAGTGGCTTTAGTTTGTTTGAAAACATCTCAAAACATTACGAACCAATCGTTACTTCAAGTTTTTGGGAAGCATGGCAAAATCACAAAGGTAAGATAGAGTTTGAATTGGCATAGATTTTGATCTTTGAGTAAGGTCCAATGCAGACGAAGGTGTTTATTGAATATGAGGAGCCAGAATAAGCGCAGGATGCAATCAAGTAGGTATTTAATTTGATTAAGCTGTTTAAATAATACGAAAGTGATGAATAATATAATTTGCAATGTTTATCCTTCCAGGCTCAGAGAACTGAAATTGGATAATGTGCCAAACACAAAAGGAATGGATTTGACTTAGAAGTTACCATTTAGTATGCCATCATTGTGGGACTTGAATGTGAATGAGGATGAGTCTGCATAACAAGTGTCTGAGGAGAGACTCGTCGACATCAGGAAGAAGCTGAGTCTGATCGATGAGGAGATAAGTCGGACGATAGAGAGTAAATTGGACACTGCTTTAATAAAGCTGTATCAGCAGACGAAGTGTTTGAGAGTTCTGATGGGAGACTATCAACTTGAGGAGATCCTGCACAAGACTAGCAAATATGGCAAAATAGTACACCTCCTGCCACTCCATTAATTTAGGTTTACCTGAAGCAAGCATAATAGGAAGTGTACGTGAAGTATGACTCAGATAAGGAGTGTTAATAAGCCTATGAGGAGCTCAAGGACCAGATGATTGTGCAGATCAAGTACAATTTCGAGAGCATCCCTGGCTACGTGATGGTGAACTCGAATTGCTGAAACATCCTCTCTCAATTTATAATTTATTTAATTTAATGTGGCTGCATCCTGAAACCATGATCAAGCTTGGTAACGAATTCTTTCAAAAGAAAGAGTTTGATCAGGCCATCAATTGGTATCAATAGTCTATAAACAAAAATACCCAATTTGTGGAGGGATACTACAATTTAGGATTGGTACATATGTACCGTAAGAAATTTGAAGAGGCCATTAATTACTTCAAACAATCCTTAGATTTGAGGCCAAGCTTTCCTGAAGCCTTGTGTAGCATGGGAATAGCCTTGTATAACCTCAATCAAGTAAGTGTGTCTGGCCATAGTTTACTAGTATGAAAAGGCCCTCAACTATTTGGATCAGGCTCTCAAGCATCGTCAATCCAACCCCAACCCTTTGAAATACAAGGGGGACACTGTAAGGAAAATGGGAAATTTGCAGGAGGCAGTCATTTAGTATAAATAAGCAATATAACTGAAGGTAACTGCTTACCTAAATATCCCTCCTAGCCTGACTTCTACCAAGCTCACAAGGCTCTTGGCGATACTTACAGGAAACTGAAAGAATTCAAGTTATCCATCCAATCCTACGATAATGCATTGGAATATAATGAAAAGTATGCAGAGGTCTTCAAAAAGAAGGCAGATTCCTTGAGGAACCTTGGGATATTTTAGGAATCCCTGCAAAATTATACGAAGGCAATAGAGATAAGGGCCACCTATCCAAAGGCTTACAATGATGCAGGGTTGTTGTTTATTTAGAATGCCATGTACAAAGAAGGAGTCGAGTATTTTTAGAAGGCAGTTAAGTTGAAACAAGATTATAAGGATGCTTATAATAATTTGGGGGTTTGCTACTATCATCTCTTGCAATATCAAGATGCTATCATTTAATTCGATACAGCTCTCCAAATACAAGTAGGTTTTACAATACCTATGCTCAACAAGGCATCGACATTGTTGAGGATGAAGAAGTATGACGAAGCCAATAAATGCTTTGATTAGGTGATGAAACATCAGCCAAAGAACATACAGGTGTTATTGGGTAAGGGAATCTCTCTGTATGAGACAAAGAAATATGAGTAAGCTGCTTTGTTGTTGAGTCAAGCTTATGATATTGATGGCAACAACTTCGAAGTGGTCTTCAATTACGGTGTTTGCAACTTTTAATTGAAAAAATACAAAGAGGCCTTGTAAATGTTATAGGAGGCTTAATAATTGAGGGACACTTTGGAAGGCCACTTTAATTAGGCAATTTGTGCATTGTATTTGAAAGACTATGAATATTCTAAGAAGGAAATCGAAATGTATGTGGTTCATTAGGAGGATGACATGGAAGCGAAAGCAGTCCAGGGAATCGTAGAGTATTACCTCAGTAATCTTGCATTTGCTTAGGAATGTTTCTAAGAGGTTTTGAAGAAATAAGAGAATTAGGTGGTTCATAACAATCTCGGAGTCATCTTGTTGCTCAATTAATAATTTGATGAAGCTCTCAAGCATTTCAATGCAGCAGTGTCAGGAAAAGGGGATTATGCTGATGGATTGTATAACAAGGGAGTTGCTTTGTGTAATCTTAATTAGTATGAGGATGCTATCAGATAATTTAATAAGGCAATCCAGCTTAAACCTAAGAATGAGTGCAAATTCGCATTCATTAATAGGGGAATCTGCCTGAAAAATCTTAAGAAATTTAATGAAGCCATACAAAATTATGACGAGGCTATTCAACTCAGTTAAGGCACTGATGTAGAGGATATCTACTACTTTAAAGGAAATTGTCTATTGGAATTGAATAAATATGAAGATGCGATTCAATTATATGATCAAGCCATTCAACTAGAGAGTGTTTACAGTTCATCAGCCAACTTTTAGAAGGGTATTGCATACACCAATCTCAAACATTTTGATGATGCCATTCAATCCTATCAACATGCAATCGAATAAAACTCTTAGAATTCTTGGGCATATTTCAATCTAGGAATCACCTATTACAATCTTGAAAATTATGAATAGGCCTTAATTTAATTCACAAGATCCTTCGATATTTAGCCAACATTTAAAGATGCTGTATTCAATGAGGCAGCTGCTTATATCAAACTAAAAAGATATGCTGAAGCCATCAATAGTTTAGACAAGTACAACCAATTAGAAAGCAATGATTATGAGAGTTTCTTCTTGAAAGGTTGTCTGCTCAAATCCTTGATGAAGTATGAAGAAGCTTTGGAATGCTTTTCAAAAGCTGTTCAACAAAAACCAAATTTCTTTGAAGGGTAGTTCAACAAAGGAGTTGCTCAACTTGAGAGTGGATTGTCCAAAGAGGCCGTAATTACATTCGATGCTGCATTCAAATTAAAGTCGGATTCAGAGAAATCCCTGAACAATAAGGCTGTCTCCTTACTAAATCTGAGCAAACCTGAAGAAGCTATTAAGGAACTAGAGAAGGCTATTAAATTAAGTCCCAACAATCCTACTTTGTTGAATAATAAAGCAGTCACTTTGATTGATCTTAAGAGGTAGGATGAAGCATTGAATATACTAGATGAAGTCATCGGTATTGATCCAAATTTCTTCAAGGCTTACAATAACAAAGGAACAATCTATTTCAATCAGAAGAACTTAACCTAAGCTTAACAATACTTTTCAAAGGCAATAGAGATAAATCCAGAATATGATTCTGCAAGGATTAATTTGAGTATTACATTTTAGGAAATGGGTGAATCTCAGTTGGCAGTTCAATAATGTGAATTGATTTCAAATTAACAATGGTTAAATAGTAATTCTGAAGCCTTGATAGCCTTTGCAACTGCTTTGAGAAATTGCGATCGCTTTGAAGAGGCCAGATAAAAGTATGAAGTTGCCTTACAACTGAATCCTCGTCACTCATAAGCCCAGAATGGGTTGGGCATAGTATATTCAAATATTGGTTAATATGAAGATGCTCTGAGATGTTATGATTAAGCTATTAATCTTAATAATAGATATCCGGAGGCGTTGAATAATAAGGGAGTCACTCTCTATTTGATGGGGAGGTATGATGAATCAGTTTAAATGTTGTAGTAATCTCTTAAATTGGAAGTCAAGAATGCATAAACTTTAAATAATTTGGGGGCTTCACTTTTTCACCTGAAAAGATATGACGAAGCAAATAAAATATTTGATTAAGCAATCCAATAGAATGACCAATTGATGGAAGCATTGGTGAATAAGGCCAATGTGTTGATTGCATAGGAAAATTTAAATGAGGCCAATAAACTACTCTAGAAGGCAAGTCAAATCAAGGACTCTCCTTACATTCATAATGCCTATGGAATAATTGCTCAGAAGCAGAAACAAACTGATAAAGCCATCTCATCGTATTAGATGGCACTTCAATTACTACCAACCTTCCCTCAGTGTCTATCGAATCAAGCTACCCTCCAAATTGAAACTGAGAAATACTCATAGGCACTCGATTTACTTAAGTAGGCTCTAAAGGCTGATTAAAACAATGCTGAGGCTCACAATAACCTTGGAGTGTTGTATTACAAGCAGAACAAATTGGAATTGTCTTAGAATGAATACATGGAGGCCATAAAATTGAAAGTCCATAATCCTGAGGCTCATTCCAATTAGGGAGTGATCTTCTGTGCCAAACAGGATTACTCATAGGCTTTACAATGCTTTGATGAAGCCATCAAGTTGAAGAGTGATTTTGTGAAGGCTTATCATAATAAGGGGACGACCTTGTATGAGAAAGAGAACTTCAAGGAGGCTGTGGAGATCTACGATAGAGCCATCAAGGCCAGGACTCAAGATCCAGAGACCTATTATAACAAGAGCATAGCTTTGCAAGGCTTGGAGCAGTTTGATGACGCTTTGAATGCTTTGGAATAGGCCTATAAGTTTGCTCCTGAAATGGCTTTGTTGTATGTCGAGAAGGTACTGCTTTATGTTGACTTTAGGGCACTCTCATGTACAGGAAGGGGAAGGTGGACGAGGCAATCAAGAACTACGATCTGGCCATTCAATTGCAACCTAATTGTGCAGAGGCTTACTACAATAAGGGATGCGCCTTGGAGAATCAAGGGAAGATAGACGAATCGAACAAGAACTACGAGAAGGCCTTCCAAATAAAACCAACTTTAGTGGAGAAAAAGAAATGACACATGGAATCATCATTATTATTATTATATTATTTACATTAAGATGTCTTTGGATTTTGAGATCAAACGTTCTGGACTCTCAATCTCAACTTCATCCTTTGATACATTTTGCGAGGAATTAAAAAGGAATGACAACAAGATAGAAGGTCATCCATTGAGGGGATGGATGAAAAAAAAAAGTCCAGCACTCTTGAAAGGATGGCAGAAGCGATATTTTATGTTGATTGAAAATCCTTAAGACAAAGGTTGGAAACTAGTGTATTTTGACAATGATGTAAAAAAACAAATTGTGAATGTAGAAAACTGATACAAGACCCAATGGTGCTTTTGATGTTTCAGCCATCACCTCAATTCAATAAGTATCTAAAAAAGAATTCACCATTCATTTCCCTGGGAGGAAACTGGATTTGAAAGTCAAACCACAGGAAGTTTACTAACAGTGGATTAATACACTCAATGAACTTCGATTGGCCACTAATGCAGAAAGAACCAAAAGATAATTGAGTACAGAGTAAGTTGTTAAACTATCAAATGAGAGTCCCTCCAAGAGTATAATTGAACATTATTATTTAGTGCCTTCAAACCACAAAATTGTTGACAATCTCACGGTTTAGTAAGCACAAGTCTAAAAGGAGAGATAACGTAATTCCATATTAATTGAGCAATCTAAAGAAAATAAGAAGAAGAAGGAAAAAGAAAATCTAACTCAACTGTCAAATGATAAGATGATCGAGTTGGTTGGATTGAAAGAATTCATAAAGAATATGAATGAGTAATTCATTTATTAACGAATGATTTATGGATACTTAGGTAAGAGAAGTAAAGGTAAAGTTAAATATTTTCAGAAAAGATGGTTCATATTGGTATCTGCTAAACCTTTGGTATATTATGGTTATTATTTGGTCTAGTATTCTGATTACAATGATGAAAGGATCTTGACAGAAGCATAATTGCCCACTTGGTTGGAACTTGATACGATCACCTATTTTAAAGAAAAGGAAGAAGGCAAACCTCCAAAAGCCAAGGGGGATGTTAGTATGATCGATTGTTAAGAGATCATCATGAAAGACATGTCCAAATCGAAAGAGAGTGGATTTACATTTAAATTGAATATGGGGGATAGGTTATATCATCTGATGGCTGATACGGAACAGGAACGTAAGAAATGGTAATCGGCTTTGAGTTTGTCTATGAGAACCACCAAGGAAATCCACAACCCCTTGAAGATCAAAATTAAGAAGAATATAGATCCTATTATATAATTATATGATGAGGAGCCTCAGTTGATTGCAAGGAGAGAGAAGATGAAAGCCAAATTGGAGAAAGATGTCTCTTAGATTCTGAATCAGGAGGATCAAGATCTAGCAATATTGTTAAAGTAACTCACTGAGGTGAGATAAGACATGTTGGAATCCATGTAAGCATGCATTGTGAAGGATCCACAAAGAAAGGATATCATAAAAGAATACACGGATATTTATCATGAGAGGATTTGTGACAGAATCTCGGCATTCTGGGATCTTCATTATAAACAAATGCAAGTATTTTACACCAAAATGAATTTTAGTCGCCTGAATTGTTACTCTTAGCATAATGGCTGAATGATTACTTAAATCTGATGAAGGATTTCTTCAACGATGATAGAATCATCTTTGGAGTCAGAGTGCTTCTTAACATTTATGTAAATAGATCCCTCGAAAATTTAGAGTCTGTATTAAATTCTATCATAGAACAAGAGAAAACACAAGAACCCATCTTCAATGATTAATAATTGTTGATTACACAGACACCGGTGGATTTATTCAAAATAATAAACGAGGGATTTGATATGGCATACAAGCTGTGTCCTTCTAAGGAAACCAGTCTGAAACTAGGTGGATTTGGTAAAACCATCTTACAACAATATTAATATGGAATCCAAGAGATGATCGATGAAATACAACTGTCAACTCCTAAATTGGTTGCCATTTGCAATAATACATTAGCATTGCATGATAATACTAAGAATTACAGTTAGGTGCTTCAACAGATGGGTAATTTGAATGAAGATGAGAGTGAAAAGGTGTTTGATTGTCAAAAGATAACCAAGAATTTTGTGTAGATAGCTAATTGTTGCAGGGATAAGATATTTTTCTGTTATTTCAGTCGTGTTGGAACACACTTCAAAAAGTCCTTTCTCGAACTCTAAATCATTGATATTCTCAAAGTCATCATAGAACCAGCTACTGAGACTCTGTCCTAATTACATGATAGTTTTAGTAGGAAATTGTGGAAACAACTCTTAGATACTATTGTTCTTTATTATTTTAATCAGTTCATCATCTCTTGTGGAAAAGCTAAGAAGGAGAATCAAAAAGAATTCACCAGCAAATTAGAGAATGATAAGGAGATCTTAGTTTAAGAATTGGAAACCTTCATTTTCGAAAAACAACTGCTGGCTTCATTAAAACCATTTGATGATATGATCAATTTTATTAATGAGGATTCTCTCAGCATTTTGGATCCATGCAAAAGTCTAAGAATGTACTTTGGAAGAGCATTTTCAGAAAAGACAGTCAAAACTATAATGTGCCTTCGATTTGACTTGGACAAGGATAAGAAGAAGGAAACAATTGAGATTTGTAAGAATTTAATTGATGACATTAACAAAAACGAACCTGTTGAACATCAGAGTAGACTCATGGATGTACTTGGACAAGAGGAAGAGGAAAATGCAGATCAAAGTTTAAATCAACAGTTATAATAGATTTAATAATAAGAAAATAGAAGGGCAGATATCTTTCTTGATTTCCATTAGGATGATTAATTATAAGTAAACACTTATATGTATTTCAATTCTAGATACCTGAAAAATAAGAGTAGCGAAGTTCAATGGAAAAGAAGGAATTCATCGACGAAGGTTACTTAAATAAGAAGAAACCAAAATAGAAGGCATGGGATTATAGATATGTCAGAATCAGGAAAGGGTATATGTATTGGTACATCAATGCCAACTCTAGAGAAGCTCAGAATAAGATCAATTTATAAAGCGTAGATGAAGTTATCGCAAACACAGAAAAGCCAGCCAATTTCAAAATTCTCTTAGAAGATTCTAAGGTTTATAAGTTTAAGACTCAGAGCAAAGAGGAGTGCGAATTATGGATTAAAACAATATTGAGGGAATAAAATTAATTGGATTCAGCCACAATTACAATTGAAGCTATAGTAAATATAGTTAATATTTAGAAAATCGGTAATGGCAAAAAAGCCATAATATAGGACTATGATGAAATGGCAAGGAAGGAAAGACAATTATAGAAGCAAGAAGAACGTAAGCGGAAGAGAATCGAAAGAGAAAATGAGTAAGATATTATTGTTTAGATTTCATTAGGATTAAAAGGAAGTAGCAAGAACAGAAAATGTTGTAGCAATAATAGTTAAAGGAATTGGGAGATAAGCCTAAGGCTCATTAGGTAGAAGTATTTGAATAACAGAGCGAACCAGTAATGAAATAGCAATTATATTTTAGAATTACAGTCAGAAGTAATCAACTTCTTGCTGGACTCAATTTTTGATAGCATTAGGAATCGAGAGACCTAAATGATATAATAGTAACTATTCAAATAAACTCATGTTGTCTTTATTCATATTGCAATTACTATTATAGGAAATGTAATCTTTGCATCAACACTAATTCCTCTTGGATGAGTTCTTCTATTACAGGATCTTTGAGTAGATTAAACTCAGGTTTCTATGTAGTTTCTTTCAATTCTGATTAGAGAATCGAATTGCTTTGGCTGTAGCTTAACTATGAACATATTTCGATTTTCTTTATTGGCGTAACGTATTCCATAGATGAATCTTCGTTTATGAATTATGGAAATTATGAAGTTGTAATTAGTTCCTATTTAGGTTCTTCATATTCTTAATCAATTGGTTTTTCAATCTTCTATGATTTGGGTGGTTTAAAAGCATCTCTTATTCTCTTGACTTCTTCTTTAATTGAAGATTCCTTCTTGGGAGATGGCTCTTTAGATGGCAGAGTGATATTTTCTTCAGGTTCTGTAATTTGGGTTTCTTGTTTTAAATTTTAAATAAGAATTTCTTCTTTTTACTTTTTAGCCTAATTTTGAGGGATCTTCATTTTGATCTGCTATATAATATCTTGTTAATTAGGTTATTCTATTTTTACAGGAGATGGTTTCTTTTCTGGAGTTTACTTTTAAGGATTGGATGTTTTCATTTGAATTTTTTCTAAAATGCTATCAATTTCTTAGATAATCGGAGTAGTGTCTACTAATTTTGGAGATTGTAGAGGTGTAATGGATGTCGGAGATTGTTATGTTTGCAAACTTTATTTTGAATTCACAATTTTAATAACTTGGTCAGTCATTTGCGATGTCACAATTGATTATTGAGGAGAGACTATTGTTTCAACATTGATTTGATGATTTTTCATAAATTGACTCAGGAAGTCCAAGTTTTCTTTCCGCTTGTTTTTAGTGTAATCTAAAAACTCAGATGACATTAATAATATATAATTCACACAATCAAAAGAATCATTTCTTAATAATGTATCACAATTATATAGTCTTACTCTCTCTGCTTCTCCATTGCCTTAATTATTGCAAATAGAGATTTCATTCTTAAATATTTAGTTTATAAAATGGAATAGAAATAGGAGATGTTCTATTTTCAAATAAAACTGATAGACTAAGAAATTTGAGTGCCAAAATTAAAAAAATACTCAACAAAGCTTAAGATCAATTTCAAGAGAGACATTCTAATATTCAGTAAGGTTACGTTACAGACTTAAGATAATATTGTAGGATTGTGACTGCTTGTGATGAGCAACTGATATTAAATTTGAGTGATTATAACTTAAATTCTATTGGTGAACTTATAAAAGTAAACATTATCTATATTAAAACTCTCTTGCTTAAAATAACAAGTAAATCATTGACAGTCACAATACTGATATACAAAATCTGAATTCTTTTGAAATCATTGATTCAGTTACACAATAACTTAGAGACAATATGAGAAGTAACTCTAAATCCAACTCAAAAATAATATTATAAAATTTATTGTCAAACCAGAAGAACAAAAACACGAGCAACAATTAGGAACAACAAACCATATTAAATTATATCGATGTTGACTACATAGAATAACAAAATCAAGAATTAAGAGTACTTATCGATAGAACCATCAAGTAATATGAGGACAAGTTAAAATAATCGATAATCAAATATAAAGAAGCTAAACTGATTCTCAAAGCTCAAAAAAATGAACTTGAACACCAATCCACATTATTGGAGGCCTATAATGAATTATTTAAATAATATCAAGACAATAAACAAGTGCCAACTATTGCTGATAAAAATAAAAGATTGTCAATAGAAAGAAACTAGAAATTTCTATTTACAAACTTGAAATTAAGATCATCATCACTTTCAAGAATAGATGGAAGAGATGGTGATCTTATGAGATATTCATATACCAAAGTTGGTGTCAAATTATCCAAGAATTTAATCCCTACTCATGATGTGATTGAAAATTTCAAGAAATATTAGCAATCCAATGAATTTAAAGAAAAAATTGCTAAGGTATGTTCATAAGTCCAATTCAAAGTACCTACTGATGAATTATAAAATGAATCAATTTCTCATGAAAACAGAGTGATGATATTCTCAAAGCTTTGCTAAGTTCTCAAGGAGAAGCATCAATTGTGTAATGTGATCATCTTAATTTTTTATATTGAAAAATAGCAACATTAATTAAGTTCAATCATCCTAAACATAGTTATAATAGAATACATTGAATACTCTCTAATTATCATACATCAAAGGATTTTACTGAGTTGTCTAATACAAAATAGATAGATGATGCATAATTAAATGATTTATTTTATGATAGTTTGCTCTAACAATAATTTATATCACAAATATAATTTATGTTAAGGAAATTGCTTCGATTCCAATTTTGCTCTCTACAAGATTAAATCAAGAAACAATAGAATTCCTACAGCAATATCACTGATAAAATTATATCGTATGTTGGTAGGGATTTACATAAAATACCCTCACATCCTCTGGGAATAATAAAGAATAGAATTGAAACATTTTTTTAAAATGAAGCCATAACAGAGAAGCAAAGCAAGTATCCTTTGAAGTATAAAATTATTGATAATCTTTCTCCAATCGTATCAGTAAAGTAGGTATTAATGCAAATCATTATATAGAATTTTGATTCTTTATTAGTGCCTCCTGATCACCCAAGCAGAAAGAAAAGCGACACTTATTATATTAATGAGAATACCTTATTAAGATGTCACACTTCTGCTCATCAAGTGGAATTAATAGAAAATAATGTTGATGCATTTGTTGTGGTAGGAGATGTTTATAGAAGAGATGAAATCGATGCCACTCATTACCCAGTATTTCATTAAGTCGAGATTGTGAGAATCTTTTAATAAGATCAATTCTCATCTAAATATTTGCAACATTAAATACAAGAATCTATGGATGATCTAAAAGAGACTCTAGAAAGATTGACTAAACATCTATTCGGTGATGTACAAATGAGATGGGTTGAAACCACATTCCCCTTTACTAATCCATCGATGGAATTGGAAATCTACTTTTAAGATAAATGGTTGGAAGTACTTGGATGCGGAGTTATTCATTAAGACTTGATGAAGAATTGTTAAGTATTTATTTATGTCAATCCAGAGACTCACTGAAGTGGGATGGGCAGCAGGCTTGGGATTAGAAAGATTAGCACTTCTCCTCTTCCAAATCCCAGATATCAGACTATTTTGGTCTCAAGATGCCAGATTTCTCGATTAGTTCAGAGCTGGCCAAATTAATAAATTTTAACCCTTCAGCAAATATCCAAGTTGTTATAAAGATGTTTCCTTTTACGTTGATCATAAAACATGGGAGGAAAATGATTTGCACTCAGTTATTCGAGACATCGGAGGAGATCTAATAGAGAAAGTAGAGTGTGTAGATACATTTTACAATAAGAAGAAGGACCTTACAAGCAAGTGCTATCGAATTCATTATAGAAGTTTGGAAAGAACACTCTAAAATGAAGAAATTGATGTGTTGCAATTTAAAATAAGAGATTAAATTAGAGATGTTTTAAAACTAGAGTTAAGATGAATTATTATTCATAAATATATATTCAAACAAATCTTCAATTCATATTAACTATACTATACTGATGTCTATTAATACAGATCTAAAGTTTAACTCTAATTTGACACTATATTTTGACTGCAATTACTAATCATAATGTAATACCAAAGAAATCTCAACTTCCAGCTGTTATAAATAGAACAAGATCTCTCGAAACAATAGCAATAGAAGTCATAATAGTAACAGTAACCTTAAGAATTTAACAATAAGCCAAATAGGGATTTATTTAATTGCCAAGTTAAAAGCTGACTAATATTAAGACAGTTAGTCCATCTCAGATCAATTTAAATAAAAGACGTAGACATAAAATATTAATCAAGAAATTCATTTGCTTATGTTTATAATGCAGGCGGAAAATAAAAGATATGCTCAATGAATAAATTTTAAATTTAAATTATAAAATTTTAGAACGCATAAGAATAAAGTGTATCCATTCTGACAAAACTAGTTTGGCCATTAAGAACTGCCTTATCTAGTTAAAACGACAAAGTTTTTATGTCTTCGTTTGAGATTTTAAAGTAATTGCAGTTATAAATTATTTTAGATTACTCTCAAATACAAAAGGGTCTCATCCCAACAGTCTCCTTAAAAATCTGCTGGTTCCATTAAGTAAACGAATGTATAAAAAGAATAAAAAAGAAATAATGCAGGATGTACTAAGATAGATACAAGATAATGGGATATTGATATTGTATCATTATCTAAAGGGACCAAAAAAGATGACAGTAATCAAGACAGCAATTCCTACTTAGACAAATATGGGAGAATTTGATTAAATATAAATTATATAATTTATATTCAGTTATGAAAGCTGATGATGGTCTTATATTAATTTAGAAATATACATCATAAGAAGATTGCTTGTTCTGTTAGAAATATGGGAGATTGCCAATAATAAAGATCAATTTTGCTCCACTTTTGAATAGAGTATATAAAATTGTAAAATCATTTTGCAGGCACTCTATACAAAATATTCACAATCTTAATGGAAAGGTAAAAGATTCGAAGATTTTTTCTCTACTAAGTCAATCTAATGGATTATATAATTTAAAGATAACTTAGCATATGGCGAAGAAGATGAGTTGTTCAAGAGGTATTTTTATAAAAATATCAAATTGTAGATATTATCCCAAGAGCGATCAATAAAATAAATTCGATCAACTCTTGGAATATTACAAATATCATAAAGATATACCTAGAATGTTCTTACCTAAACTCTCAGATTTGGCTATCTATTTTTATGAGAAAAAGAAGTATTTTATATCTGTATCCAATTTAGACAATTGGAGTATAGGAAAATTAAGATAATGTTGGGGATTCCTTTGGACGATGCCAGCAACTATACAGGTACCGATTCTCTAAATTGTTAGAATGCGAGAAATTAAAAGAAGAAATCAAAGTACTCAACAGTATCACACAACAAACTCAAGTATCCAGTCTTTCTCTATTAAGAGACATCTTACAGTAAAAGGGAAGTGAAGAGATTGTAGTAAGTGATCCTCTAATCATTAGAACATTGATGCAACTTGGATGACTATGGCAAACAATCAATAGCCAAAGCCTTCATAGCCATCAAATTTAAAATTACTCAAGCAATTGATATCTAAAAACACCTAATTTTACAAGCAAAAATTTAACACAAATTGCCTTTAAAGAACTAGTTAGAATTCTCCTTAATAAAATTTGAATCTCAAAACTATCTCTAAAGATACATCCTAAAAGTCCTTATTGTCCTCTCATAAACTCATAAATAATAGCAATGGAGAAGGTGAATTTCAGAAATTCTTAAAATAGTAGGTGGTAGGAGTCAGCCACTCAAATCCTTGCAATTAAAATAATGCTAAATCATTAGCCAAACCTATTTAGATATCTAATTATCAATCCAAGCAAAGCAGCATTCATCACATTCTCAGCACAAGAAGCATCTCCTCTGAATAGTTAAAATTGATTTAGTCTCAATAAATGCTAAAACCCAATCAATCTAATAATAATTACTAACAAGCATAACATAAGAAAAGCCAAACTTAAACTCATTATACTGAAATCAATTCTCCGAATAAACACTCTAAGAAAGCTTCAGATAAATTGTACACTAATATAGGAATAGACTTTAAATAAGCCTTGACTCATTAAAATTCGAAGGAAAAGCATTTTAAAGTTTATACTTCGTAATCCTAAATTCCTTTATCAGCAAACATCAATATTAACATCAATTAGTTAAACATGAACAACCTCAATGTTAAATCTTCATTTTAACAGTATAAGGCAATGCTCGAAAGTCCAAAAGTTTATCCCAAGAAGAAAACTCAATCTAATGTTGAATCCTAAAGGGTCAACAATGCTAGTACTTCAAAAAGCACGACCTCTTTAAAAAAAACGTAAATCTCAGTTTAATAAGTATACGCTCAAAAAATCAAATAAAAACAAAAGATTTAAAATAAATGAAGACTCTTATTTAATTATTATATATAAATTTTAATTGGGTCATCTAAGAATTCATCATATTATAACACTACCAAATTATAACAGTTCAATATCATTTATTTAATATAAAGTAACTGGGTAGATGTGGGTTTATTGAGTCTGACTTATAAATTGCATTCTATAACTTCGATATGCATTTTCACATAATGACATTTTACAGACTATATACACCTTTAGATATTTTCTACTATTTGAACTTTTAAAGTATATGTCTCTATCGTTTCTTTTGAAGATCTACTTGTTAAGTAACAAGAATTCCTAGTTTTTGTATATTCCAAATATTTTAATTCTTCTCACTTATAATTCATCAATTTCACTATTATAAAAATTTTAGTAATCAAATTAGCTCACTTTGATGTGGATTAGAAACAAATTAATAATCTGAGGTTGGGTAAACTTTATTTTAAGACTCTCTGTTTGGTGGAGCTGATAAAAATCTCCATTCATGGTAATTGAAAATTGAGCTTCATCAATCAGAATTTTTGGATTAATATGAAAACTCTAAATAAACAATTAAGTGATACTGATGATTGATGTATTTCGACACTAACATTTTCAGGATATGACAGCTTTTAAATCATTAACTATTTATCATAGAATTTTATCATCTTCTTGCAATTCGTGCTGTTGTTTTCTACGACACTAGAATTCTGAAATACTTCTGGGGTAATACCTGGATTTTTTTGAGTTGTTTATGAATGTCTGATCATTTAAACAATTATGAAAATGCTAAGTACTATATGAAGAATAATCCTTATTTTCATTATAAATATTAGATCACTTCAAACTTAGTATTGAATAACATTTACAAAAATTTTCAAAAATTTAAAATATTTTAAACTGATTAAAGAGAGAAATTAGAAACATACATTCAATTTTTAGAAATTCATATCTCAATCATTTTATCTATTAGTTTATTTATAAATCAATTTTGAAGGTTTTAAGATAATTTGGTATCTGTTATAAAATATGATAAATTAATATATATTGTTAATATTTTTAAAAAATGGAATAAGAAATCCATTAAGGGAAATGTAAAGCATTTTAAATAATCTATAATTAAGGCTTTTAATCTATTTCAATAGTGTACAGAGATATATTTTGATATGATTTTTTCTAAATAGGTTATTTTTATCTTATAAAGATTGTTTTTGGTTTGGAGTGAATAAATGATGTCACGATTACTAAAAAAAGAAAAATAATTAGTATGCTTTTTAAAATCCCAGAATAAGGAGTTTCCTTAATATACCGAGGAAGAGTTTTGTCATTTCTGTGATGAAAGGATTCAAATTCACTTTTTGTATCTTATATTGTTTCTTTGGTCCTAAATTGTAATCCTAGAAGCAATCTCTTGTGAAACAGATGCATGAGCTTTGTTGAAAATATATAGGAAATTAAATATGGTTTAGAGTGTAATAAAAATAAACAGAAAGAATATTGATTGATGTAGTAAATTGCAAAAATTAATGATATTCATTTCCAAACTGGCTTACTATTAATTATGGATTAAATAATGCTCTCATCGTTTTTAATTTATCCAGGAGATGGATATCTCCACCCTTTATTTTTGCTTGTAGCAATTAATTAATTTGCTTTTGGAATGGCATTACCTATGAATTAGGATGAATCATAATACCTTTGACCAAGGGTGAATATTATCTATAGGCAAGTCCAGTTGTTGGTTTTGGTAAATTAGGCATAGGCTAGAGTTCAGGCTAACTAGTATGATATCATTATTATACGCATAAGCTGATCTTGGTCTTTCACTGGGATCTCTTTTCTATTGTTTCACGGATTACGACTTGCACGATAACTTTTATTTTAATTCCTAATGTTTTTTTAGACTATCATTTTATTATCTCTTAATTGTTCCACTGCTTGGTTTGATTAGAGACATTTAGGCAGATTCTCTTGAGTTTAAACTAGTATTGCATTTTTCTTGTTCCTCTTTTAAAGTTACATAATTATTAACTGTTACATGATAAACATTTCCGTTTATATTATTTTAATTATTTAATCTAACAGCAGGCTTAGTTGCATTCTATTTCATTTTCTTTTAGGACTTTTTCACAAGAGTTTCATCTGCCCAAGTAATGGTTCTTGGCCTATTTTCATTCAAATATTAATTAAATAATCTTCTATCTAACCAACAAGAATCAGCAGCACTTGATTTTGAATTCTAGAAAGTATTTCTTAGTAATTTTTCATCCTCTTCCAATGGTAGATCTTGCTCTTCATGAGGTTACCAAGAACTTGATAATCCACCTTCACCTTTTTTACTTAATTTTGATTCTAATTGCGTTAATTGATGATAAAAACTAGCCCTTATCTCTAAATCAGGTCTTCTTGTATTCAAAAACTCAAGAGTCTTGTATAATTTCCATTTATATTTTCTCATAAAAAATGCTGCCAATGCGCAACATGATCTTGACTAACCTCTAACTGAATGTACCAAGACTGACTCACCATTGACATGAGCTTATTCTATAAAATGATATATTTCATTGACGTTCTCATTTTAGAATAAAACTTGCTTGTTCGATTAGTATAGATATATACCTGCTCATTTTCTTACCAATTGAATTTTAGATATGAAACTCCATAGTTTTCGAATACACAAGGCAATTATTTCGCAGCACAATTAATTATGTGACTCACCTTATTTTATATCACAAATTCAAGGTCCTAGCAAATAAATGATATTCTGTACTTTGGATGCAAATTCATCCCCAATAAAAAGACCATCCTTAATTTTAATTGCTCCAATTATCATTTATTTAATTATAAATTATTTGAAATTTGAATGATGGAATAAATGCCTAAATTAAGTGAAATTCATAAGGAATTGTAATACTACACCAGATATTTCTCAGAAAACAAACTCTATTAATCTAGTAAATGGACAGGAGAATTGCTTTTAGGTCTAACCCAAGAGGAAGACTTATAATCATCTCAATTCGCCATGTAATTCATTCAAAACAACACAGATTATCAATATTAATTTTTAAGAGAATTTGTACCTGAAAATAATGATATTATTTGTGTGGCAAGAAATTTATTCGATTTAAGAGAGTTCAAAAAATGTGCTTCTTTACTCTAGGGATTGATTCACAAAAATGAATCAGCAATGTTCTTATATTATTATTCGTAATATATGTATGGAGAGTTACGCAAAGAGGAAGAAATGTTTGAGAATGAAAATTCAAAGACAGCCACTAATCCAGAATTAAAGCTATTAGATAGAGAACTATCCAAATTATATGATCAAAAATAATTATCCTAAGTATTTCTATAATCTATAAGTTTAGTTGAACCTTTATCTCTATGGCTTGATTCTCAAGGATACTTTAAGACTTCGTGAAGCCAAAGAGGTTTTTATATAGGTTTTGAATTAATTGCCATGCTTTTGGAGTGCCTGGCTAGAATTATGCAGATTATTGACTGAAGAAGACTCTATCAATGAATTGCCCAATCATTGGATGAAGTTTTTCTGGATTTCCAATTTCAATCTGGAAAAGTTTAAAAACTCTAATTGTGTGGAATCCTTTTAACTATTGCTCTATTATTTCAGAAACTCAAATTTCATCATTAATTAGATAGCAAATGCATATTATAATAATTAAGAATTTGAATTGTCACTAGAATGGTTTGAGAGATTGTTGAGCATAGATCCCTATCGATATGAAAACTTAGACACTTATTCTAATATCTTGTATATTAAGGAAAATCAAGGAGAACTGGCAAATCTAGCCTTGCAATCCTTTACTAATAATAAGTACGTCCCCGAAACTTGTTGCGTAGTCGGAAATTACTATTCCTTGATGAATGAACATGCTAAAGCTATAAATTATTTTCAAAGAGCCTTAAAGTTAGATAAAGACTGTCTAGCTGCATGGACTCTTATGGGTCATGAATACTTAGAAATGAAGAATGTTGCTTCAGCCATACAATCTTATAGAAATGCTGTTGAAATTGATCCAAAGGATTTCAGAGCTTGGTATGGATTGGGCCAGACTTATGCTTTATAAGGAATGAATTAATATGCGCTCTATTATTTTAGTAGAGCGGTGATCAGTAGACCAAAGGATGCTAGAATGTGGAATGCTATGGCAGAATGTTATGACAAAATGGATAAAAAGAATGAGGCTATGAAATGTTATGAACGAGCTAATTCATGTAAAGATAAAGAAGGAATTGCTATACATTAATTGGCTAAATTATATGATGCAGTTGTAAGATAATTATATCAAAATTGTAGGGTAAGGAAGATAAAGCTTAATAAGCATTTGAAGAGAGCTTGAAACGAAAAGATGAAGAATAGACAGTAGATAAAGAAGTCTCAGAGGCTCTGTTGTATTTGGCTAGGGTTTTCTTAAAGAAAGGTGATAAGGAGAGGGCGATGCAAATGGCAAAAAGGCTGTATGATTTTAATGGACCTGAAAGGGATGAAGCTAATTAAATTATGAGTTAATTGAATAAATGAAATTTTGTGTATTTTGATATCCAAAATTAGATTAAAATTTATTCTTCAGCAATCAATTCAAATAAATGATTTTTAATCATGGAATTAACTGTTAATCTTTTATTACCATGATGCTATATTAATTTGAATATTTAATAAAGAAAATGTGTGAATTCAAATAAATGATTCATCTAAATTTAATCATCTACATTTTCCTAATAAGTTAAGTAATTTCCAATTGATTAAAGATCTTATAGCCAGAAAGAATAAGAAATAGTAATCGAATTCCTTAAATAATACTAAAAATAGATTATAAATAATTCAATTTAATCAAAATAAAAATGAGAGTTAATGAAAAAATCATATTAATAACCTTTTAATCTTTAAGAAATTTAAATCAACGAAGACAAATAAAAAATGATATTAAACGAATTTTAAGGAATGAGCTAATATAATGATAAAAAGAATGTAAAGGCAAGTAAAAATTGAAAAAAGGATGAAACTCTATCTAAAATTTGAAGTAGTATTATAAAAATATAGTAAAATTCATTCATCATAACAACATAAATACCACCAAGGTTTTTGATCTATTTCTATGTTCTCTTTGACTGGATCATGTTCTTAGTAATCTAATTTCTCATCAATAATATCTGTATTCTATATATTATTTTATTGTGGATTTAGTTTTTCCTCTTCACTTCTTGGAGATATTGGTGATTTACAAGACAATGGATCACTCAAAGAAGAAACCATTAAAGAATTCAACATAATTTAAGTTTGTTTCAAAGCAAAAGATTTGGTCTTTAGTTGACGTAATTTTTAATGTTCATCATAAGCTAAACAAATTAGATTTTATTTTACGCGGAAGTTCTTCATCTGGTCTTTCATATTCATCCATTTCATAAAGTTCATATATAGAGAAATCATTAAGAAAGAAAAATAATTCCATTTCTGCTCTCTTAAAAGTTTAATTGAATTCTCCAATAACCATTTATAAAAACTCTCTAACAGTGATGTCAGAGGTTACTCTAACAGTTACAATTATTTTCCTTTGTAGATTATCAATCCAAGTTACTCGATATGGTGTTGAATAGTTTCCTATTTATTCTTATGTCTCAGCCTTGTATATTGGATTATAATTTGCTTAAGATTTTTCTTTGGTGCTTAAGGGAGCATTATCATCATAAACCATTTAAATATCTTCTGTATAATAAAAACTCATCTAATATCAGATATAAATTATAATTTTTATTTTGCAATTTTTGTACATCATAACTTATTAAGTAGTGTTATTTCGGTCTAATTGAGCAATAATTTTAATAAAATTAAATAATTCTGATAAAGAAGAAAAATTTTAGATTCTCTTGATTGCTTATTTTAAATGACTATGTAATTTTTATTTAATTAATTTTTATGTATAATAATTCAAGAGATCCTCCTAATAAAATTCTTCTTCTTATTCTAAATTCATTGCCTTCTTCTTTTACATTGAACAATTAATTCATACACGAAAAATTCAATCAGTTTGGAGATATCAATAAGATTCTCATTTTTGAAAAAGGAAAAACCACCAAAGCCTTTGTTGAATTTCATGAATTGAAAAGTGCAATTTAAGCTAAAAAGTAATTGAATGGTTGCAATATTTAAGGAGGAAAGTAATGTCTCTTTTGTTATAGTTTTAGAATGAATATTCATTTTTCTCGACTTAAAAATCTTAATCTCGAAATAGTGGATAATTCAAGAGGAACAGATTATACATAGGCTAGTAGCAATAGTTAGAATTCTGATTCTATGCTTAACTCAAGAACAGAGGAGATTATTTAGTTTGATTTAACCAATCATATTAGTTCAACTTAGTCACCCAGAGCAAATTCCAGTCCAATCAGAAACGAACAAATCAATCGTCTATTAGAATCATCAGATGGTGAAGATGATCTGAAAATCTGGAAATAAACTATCCCTTTGGACATCGAAGAATTTCATCCAGAGATATAAAAATTACTTCAACAGAGATAGTCAAGATTAATCAAAATATTAAATTTTGATTCAAAAATCACCGCCAAGATGATTTACAATGTCTTTTCTAAGTTTGGAAATTTAGAAGAAATCTTATATGAAAAATCATCTTCCAGAGCCTACATTAAATATTAATCAGTAAATTAGGCAATAATCGCAAAGGAATATCTCAATAATATTTAATTTTTCGACTCCTAAGTAAGTTAAACATATCATAAATTAGATACGAATATATTTTGAACCTCTCCAATCCCTATAACCCACTTCTTTTTAGGATGAGTATATGATCTATTATCCTGAAAGTCAACCATACAATAATACCCCACTCTCTCCAAATCTCCTAATCACAGACGTATAAGATCCCTCTGAAATCTCTGATTAAATCTAAATGTTTGTCAAAGCCAAAGGTATTATCATCTCTTTATAATTTAATAGAAATTAAATATGGAGTAAATAGTATTCATTTGACCTTATTTTCTAATGCAGATGCACTTAAAATTATTGCTGTGTTTTCAGATTATGAATTCTAAAATTAAAAAATGAATATCATTCTCAAAAAATGATAGTTTTATGCAAATTATTCAAAAATAAATAAATCAAAAATACATTATTCAATTATCACTTTTATTAATTCCTATTTCTTATCCTCTACTAAGATAACATTGAATTTAACAGATTCTTTTCCTTGATTGCCTATATATCTTATATTTCTTAAACTCTTTTATTCATTTAATTATTTATTTTACTAATATGATTTCTTTCTTTTTAAAATGAAAATTCATTCTACGCTTAGGCATTTTATCTTTCTCTAAGAAACTCAACTGAATAGTTTTAATAATTCACATGTTATTGCTACTATAAAAGTTTCTTCTTTGTTACTTAGAGAGAATCTAAATGTTTTTCTATCTTATGAGAGACATTCTATCTTTAAGCAGATTGATCCAAATCTTAAAGTAATGCCTTCACTTTAACGCCTTATTTTTCATTCAAAATGATTAAAGGTTAGTTATTTTAATTTTATATTTTTGGTATCTGATCATAGCTTAAGTTAATTTTTGGTTGAATCTTATTATAATCAGATAGCGATCTTTTCTCTCTATCTATTACCTAAATTACTTGAGGTTAATATCGATTTACGCTCACCTATTTACTGTTGAATTAATATTCTTATAAAAATTGATCCTCCTCATCATCCACTAAATTTTTGACAAAATCTTAAGCAATTGGCATATTATTCAAACTTTCCCAAGTTAAACCTGATTTTTTCTATTCTAAAACATGTTAGGATTTAATTTTAGTTCTATTCATGTAAGAACAGGTTGTAGGTTTAGAAGGATTTGGGAGTTTATCAATAAGGTGAATCATATTTGGATATTTTTCGATTAACTGTTATTTTGTTAAATGCTTTAGTTCAAACTATAATTTAGTGAACATTTTTCTTTCCCTTTCTATTTATTTCTAATATTCATTTTGTTCCTTTCTTTACAATAAAATTTATTTAATCTACTCATCATCCTTAACATCTGGATGAAATATCTTATATTCGTACTTAACTTCTTTTATTCTCTAGTCCTTATCTCTCATTTAAAAAGGTTTCTAAAAAGGTTTCATTTTTTATTAACACAGTTTCCAATTATCCAAACCCAAACTTATAATAAATTATTCTTAGTCTTGACCTTCCTCTATTGCCAACATGTTTATGAGTTATATAAATTAATCATAATTTAATTCCTTTTAGTTTTTAGCATATTTCTTAAATAGTTCTAGCATTCTCTAATTTTTCGCTTTAATTTGAAAATCTTTACAAAAATGCATCCATTTTCCAATCGTAAATATTGAGGCTTCATGCTATTGTCTTTCAAATGTTGCATGCTGTCCTTGCACATATTGCTGTTTGCAATAGAAATCGAAGACTTTCGCGATAACTTCTTTATTAAGAATGTTCATTTTATTTATGAAATTATCCTTATATTTTATTCATATATTTTTATAAAAATAAGTTTTTAAATGTATTTGATAAATAAAATAATCATCAATTAAATATAAACTTTTAAACTTCCTAGATATTGCAATCTTTAACACTTTGTTCTACTATTTTGATGGATGAATACTCATTGATGTCAAATTAGCTCTCTTAAAACTAAAGTATTATTTAATTTATATATTACTCTTAATCTATCATTTGTATTCTCTCTTTATTCTTAAACTGCCTTTCTTGACTTCTTTATTTTTTCTCTAATGAAAATAAGTTTATAATTTACATTTCTCTCGATAAAAACATCTCAAAATCAGGAGCCTTATATGCTTTCTCTTTATCCTGCTTATTCAAGACTATTAAAATTGGGACTTTTGATTTCTAAAATGGAATAGAAATTAAAATGTTATATAAGATAGCTGCAGTTGCTCCTATTTAAGATGTCTCAGATGAGTCTGTAACTAATATTATTTTCTTGGCTTCTTGTATTTTATTCAAAAACTATTCTTTTTAATAATTATTTCCTGGCACGTCTACGACAATAACACTTTAATTATTTGGCTTGGCTAATTCTGTTTAGTTTGGCTCAATTGAATTAGTTGTTTATATTGATGAATTTTAGTTCGATAGCTATTCTTTCATATATAATTTATACGCAATACAATAAGGAAGTTTTTCCTGCGTTTTTATCTCCAACTATAAATATTACCGAATTATTAGCATTAGCTTATTAAACTCCACTCTACCTTTTTGACGTAATATAAAATGCAACGACAAAAACTAGTACAAGTATGGCAATTATAATATACATTAAATAATTAATAAACACGTTTAATTAAGTTTTTTATAATGTTAATGAAAAAATCAACAATAAGTATTAATTTATTTTTCTAATTCAATTAATTGCAGGCAAAATTGAACTAAATAGCCTAGTATCATTGATGTATAGAATATAGTTTATTTTCAAAACATTGTGATTTTGTTATTAGCAATGTCAAGCATTGCACTATCATGTAAAAACATAAAATCTTAGAAATAAATTTTAATAATGAATTTTTGGGTTTCTAATATATAATAGGATAATTTTCATTGAAATCTTCTTAAAATTATAATCAAACAAATATATATATTATTTGATTTATATTAGAGAGATAGCATCTTCCTAATATTAATATAATAATGATGCATAATTGTTGATTATAATCTCTGCATTATCCACTAATAAATATAAGCTTATTTAGTCAAAATTTATAAAGTATTTCTTTAAATTGAAATACTTTTATTATTGTTTTTATTGAGATTTCTAACTAGATCTCAATAAATTGACTAGGGATAGCTCAATGGAACTATTCCCAATCAATTCATTAAGATTAATTATTATTCATTCAAATCCTTCATTTTGAATGACTTCAGTCTCAATAAATCACATTTGAATTCGATCTTTGATCAATTTCAGTTATTTCTTTTTCTTTCCTTTTCCTTTCAGTCTTTTTTATTTTTATTAATCCTTCCAAATAATTAGTTCAATTTTTGTATTTTACTTTAATTAAGTTATGTAATAAGTACAAATAAATAGAATATTTGACAAAAAAAATAGTTACAATATTATTAGTTTTATTTGAACGGAAACTATTCTAATGACTGAACCACTTCTGTCACAGCAGCCAGTTTGATACGATTTTTTTTGATATGAAAAATTTGTATAATTTATCTGCTTTTCTAAACGAAAATATTTTTATGTTAAATATATAAATAATAGGATAAACAAATATTAAAATAGATTAAAGTTGAAGCATAACAACTATGAAGGATTAAGGCTTCTTAACTCTGTTAATTTATACTGAAATAAGCATACACTTTTAGCATAGAAATCTATATTAGTTAATATTCTATTTTATATGAGCTATTAGGCTATAAATTATATATCAATTAAAAAAATTAAAATAGAAGAGTTGAACACTTAACAATAAAATGAATAGAAGCATTTTTGGCTTATATATGAAAAATTAGTTTGAACATGTTTTTAACTTAATAATTTAAAGAATCAATTAACCATACATATCTGATTGATTATTAGTGAGAATGATGAAAAAGTTGATGACTCTTTACTTTTATTTGATTAGACAAATGATATGTTGATAAAATAGGAATATATGAATTTATTGAATTCATTTGAGGTCTTTATGTTCTGTGTTTGAATGATTATGATATTGTCGATGGAATCTCATTTATGGTGAAAGTGTCATAAAATAATAAAGGCGGTATTCATTAATCAGAATATTAATATCTGAGGCTTAATAGACATCAATATGCGATACATCGCCTTGTATTTTATATACAATGATTTTTTTGTAAAAATCATGGCTTTCACAAACTAAGTAGGAGGGTTCAATATTAAAATTATTTCTCTGTTTAATTAATTCAAAACTTTCATTTGATTTATTAGACAGAAATATATTAAATTATATGAATTTATCGATTGTTAATATAATGGAAGCAACTTTATGCTAGATGTTAGCGGAGAATTACACTTAAGAAACAAACAAATACTCAACAATTATAGTTTTCTAAAGATATAGTTCTGATAAAAAATGCATGTTTTTTATTGGTTATGATTCCAATTCATATATCATTATTTAACAGCAACACTACTAAGTAGATGAGATGGTTAAAAACTTAGATTTATATTTCAAGAGAGTTTATGACTTCTTATATTAAATCCTTTTTCAAAAGAAAGAAGTGACGATCCACTTCATAAATATTTTAATAATAAAAGATTTCAATCATTTCTATCAATTAATTGAAGTTCTTGAAGATCCTTTCCCAAAAAGCAAAATCATAGTCTGGATTGAACATTAACAATAACTTGTTATACCAGAATAATAATATTTATCAATCTAAATCTCCTTCAATTATGTATAAATCAAATTTGATTATAGAGTGCACTTATAAAGATTTAAATTGGTTTTTTAATCAAAGATTTGGAAGCCTACAAATAGTTCGCAATCAAATAAATTAATCAAATTCAAGAGAGTCACTAATAGTTCCGATAATAATTTGAAAAATGCTTAGAACAAGTTTAGGCCTTTAAATTCTTGACTCTGGTTAAAGAAATTACTTTTATAAAGGATATACCTGATGATATAGAGTATTTAGCATAAATATTAATGAATCTACCTCGTTATACATGTTTAGATGCAGTTGTAATAATAGCTAAACTTAAGTTATATAAATAAAAAGCAAATTTTAATAGGACAAATAATTAATAAAAATTAAAAATTAACGAATACTTGGAAACAACCTAATCTGATTTAGCGATATTTAAAGAGCAAAAGTATTGCCATTTCCCAAAGAGAGGAGATAATAGTTAAAAGTATTTATTTTTTAATTTATGATAGGTGTAAAGTTTGTTAAAAGAATGGCAATAAAGTTAGAAAATCCAGTTTTGTTTGTGAAGCTTGTAAACTACATTATAAAATTAATGTAACCCTTTGTACAACAAAATGCTTTAAAATATTTCATTTAAATCCTGAAAAGTATTTGCGCAGAAAAAATAGATCAAAAAACACAAAAGTAGAAGAATGATAAAATATTCTATATTATATTATATATATATGATATTTCAATATAATCATGAGATTACATATTTAGGAAAGTAATTTAAGATTCCTTACAATTTTATTGGAGTATCAGTAAGTAAAACGTTTAAAAGCAAATATATAATATTTCATATAATTATAAAAAATTTAAATGAAATCTGAATAAAGTTAAGAAAAGGGTCGATAAAATTGAAACTTATATCTAAGAGACAATAACCTCAAATTTAAAAGTTAAGCAATCATCTGTGTGTCACCATATATAAAACATAAATTTAATGATTATCAAAATAAATAGAGAAATTCCCGATTAGATTAAAGCTGATTTAATGGTTTAAGCTTCTGATAATTTTTAAAAGGATCTTAAACTATACATCAATAGAAGGCAATAACAAACTTTGATTAAAATTTAGTAAGCGTACATTCCAATAAGCATAGATATAACGAATAGTATATAGAGTAGCATCAAATATGTAACCATTGAAGGTTTAGTGACTTGAATATATAAATAAGATTACTGAATAGCATCCAATCACTAAACAAAATAATTTCTAATAGTGATGATAAGGCAATAATGAGCACTGCAATTGAAATTCTTTCTTAAACACCAACAAGGTATCCAAAACTCAATTTTAGTATTGCAATTTCACTCAAGACTAGATATATCTTAGCAGTGATTTGATTATCAACTTTATTTTGAGTATTTTGTGTATGCTATGTGAATGAAAAATCTTTAACGGTTTGAGTTCTGGCGGGTTTAAATTATGGAGATTCATTATTCTAATCAGGTTCTCCGCCTAAATGCCTGGCTCTAGCTAATTATTTGTTGCTATACTCTGACTAAAATACTTAATGTTATTTGCTATCTATAGTCTAAAATAACAGAATGAATTACAAATTATAATTTATTGAGCAAATCTGATTAGTTAAATTTACTATTGCTATCACTATTGCTATTCTTAACTTCTTCACTATTTTTAATTTAATCAAACTGATTTTGGTTTCTATAATAACTTTCAATCCGCAGGACCTCTTCACTTTTTTCAGGAACATATTCTGAGATGACTTTGGGTTGTAAAATTGGAGGAGGAGGAACGTTATTACTTGTAGCAAGTTAGGTTTTTTATGTGTCCTCAAATTCTTTATCGTATATTTCTTAGAATTCCTTGACAACGAATAGTAATGGAATCAAAAACAAAATTTTATATTGGATTGAGAATTCATTATTAAGATATGCAGTTATGGATTCTCTTTATTCATTTGGTAATTGATCAATTTGTCTAATAATTTTAGAGTAATTATGATCGTTTAAGTATTTAAGATGTTGCAATTCGAGTGCATTAATGAAAAGCAAGGGAATAATAAGTACAAAAGCTGAATGAAATAGGAATCTTCTAATAAAGTTAACGAAGGATTCTGCAAATCTTTCATATTTCATGATCCTTGCATTATATGCAAAATAGGTAATCCATGTAAATGCCAAACTTACAATTAAGTTTATAATATATATCATTTTATATAATGAATATTCAAAATTACTCAAGCAAAGACGACAAAAAAAAAACATTATTGAAACCAAGAATACGATCCTCAAGCAAAGAAGCTACTTAGCAGCTCACTCAACCTAGAATTGCAATTTAAAACCCTCCTGTGTATAGAAACACAACAGCTGATAAACATAGAAAACACTCCGTAGATAATAAAAAACAAGTAAAACAAAAAAAGAAGAAGAAGACTCAAAAGAACTTATAATGTAAAACTATATCCTTATTTATAAAGAATTGGATAATTAGGAGGAGTAAAGATTATTAGAGGAAGAATAGAAGAGAATTAGAGATCTGGAAGAATTTTAAAGATAATAATGGGAGAAAATGAGTTAGGAAGAACGCGATAGATTAAAAAACGAGGAAAACGATAGAGTTTAAATAGAAATGAATTGGGATAAGGAAATTCATGAATACAAAAAGAAATGTTTAGAAATGGAGGAATGGAATAACTATATATCCTGTAATACTCAAATAGATCCCAGATCAGAAAAAGATTTAAACACGGTTATTTATCAATTAAGTACTAATAATGATGATATTTCATTGAATTACAAATAGATTGAATATATTTCAACAATAATTTTCCTAATCCAAGTAGCACATTAATAAGACTTAAGTCAATCAATATTTAATAAGCAGGACCATTACTTTAGATATATTGAAAAACTAAAATCAATTTAGAGTACTAAAATATATGAAATCATAAAACACTTTTATATTCATTACGAGAATTACTTGGATGAATTGAATCACATCTGTATTAATATATCCTCTATATATAAGTGAAACATTAATATTTTTTGTTGGAATTTAATTAAGAAACACAATAAAGGATTTTATAAAAAATAGCCTAAAAGCCTGAGGATAGAGTGAAATATGAAATCTTAAAATATACAGAATTCAGTAATTCATTTAAAGCAGCATTTTGGTATTGTCCCTTGTCTAAGATTGGATACAGAATAAAGCCGATTGACTTCTCTCAAATATCCAATCTTTAAATAGAAATTCCAAGATAATTGGCTGGACAAAGTTTAATTTATTATGTAACCTGGACTAATCATGATCCATATGTACAATATAAATAATACACATAATATTTACCAATTGGCGGAATATTTTAAAATTGTTGTGTTAACTTACCTAAATTATCAAAGAAAACTAATGGGTGGATACTCAAACCAACATTCACAGATTCATAATTATAGCCTTTAAAATTGGCTTAAGGATTCTAGTCTTATAGTTGTTTCTTTTAAATATCCAATTAATACTATTTACAAGATGCTAGCAAATTGTTTGTGGTAACATTCTAAAATGGCAATTGGACTCAAGAAGGAATAGAAGATTTGAAAGTGAATATCGATACTCGATCTGTTTCATTTTCATTGAAGAATCAGCTTCCATTTATGTTAGCCACATTAAAATTTGCTGATTTTCCATTTAAAACCTGGAAAATTAGTTCTCTATCTCCTAATAAGGTATATATAAATATCATAAGTAAAAATTTCTCTATGATATATTTATAGCCTAAAGAGATATCAATATTGGAATTGAATTAGACAGTAAACTATCAAAATTAGTAAAACCTGCTAGTCTGGCCTAATAGAATTTTAAAGAACCTTTGCCGATCATAGAATTATTATTAAAATTAAGAAATTTTGGAATCAATTTGATAGCCCAAGAGGAGGATGCAATTTGTTTGTAAACTGTGTTTAAAAGATCTGAAGTTGAAAATCAAGTATTGTTGAATTTAATGTAAACACTCAGAGGTATGTATGTTTATAGAAATTTTAGTTTATTCCTTCAAATAATCAAAATGGAATTAAAAATGTGGATCAGATTAAATTATTATTCAATTTATTGAAAATCCTAATTTTAATTAAGATTTTGAAGGGGATGATGAATTTTAATGGAGAAATTTAGAATTCCAATTGAATAAAGTATCCCTTCTAGAGGGCAACGATAAAAGTGATAAGTTTTCATCAAAATGGTCGAAAAATACTGTTAGTCATGCTAATTTATTAATTTTAATTTAACAGCATTAAATTACTCCACCAGAATTATAATTTTACATCGAAGAAATTCAGAATGTAGAATTAAGATCAAACCTTAGAACAATGCTGAAAGTAATGAGACTGTTAGCAATTAATTGACATTTTATACAAGATAATATATAAAATAATATTGTTCTATATTGAAATTCAATTCTATTTATCCTTACAGAATCAAAACTTGTTAGAATGGAGTTTCTCAATTAGTATTTTCTTACTCAATAAAAAAGATGATTGTAAATGAGGTTGAATTTTTAAGTGATTTAAATTAACTAATTTCACCTCTTATTGATTAACTTTATTTATATAGAAAAAAAACAATATTTAAAAAATCAATTTGAATGTTCCATCATTCAATAGTTCCACCATAGTGTTATTACTTTCAATCTTATCTATTAGAATTAATTCCAATATCACTAATGGATCGATAAAATAATTCTTATTAAGTTGGTAACTCAATTCCACACATTTTTCACACTTAAAACTTATTAATAGCATCCACCATCACTAAATTCAACAAAATATTCTATCACATTTTTATAAATGTATTTCCATTGTGCCTACTCTATCATCTTGTACGTTTTGTCCATATTAAAATTGTAATTTGACGAAAAAGTAGCAAAAAATATTTAGAAAATNTAAAATTGGCTTAAGGATTCTAGTCTTATAGTTGTTTCTTTTAAATATCCAATTAATACTATTTACAAGATGCTAGCAAATTGTTTGTGGTAACATTCTAAAATGGCAATTGGACTCAAGAAGGAATAGAAGATTTGAAAGTGAATATCGATACTCGATCTGTTTCATTTTCATTGAAGAATCAGCTTCCATTTATGTTAGCCACATTAAAATTTGCTGATTTTCCATTTAAAACCTGGAAAATTAGTTCTCTATCTCCTAATAAGGTATATATAAATATCATAAGTAAAAATTTCTCTATGATATATTTATAGCCTAAAGAGATATCAATATTGGAATTGAATTAGACAGTAAACTATCAAAATTAGTAAAACCTGCTAGTCTGGCCTAATAGAATTTTAAAGAACCTTTGCCGATCATAGAATTATTATTAAAATTAAGAAATTTTGGAATCAATTTGATAGCCCAAGAGGAGGATGCAATTTGTTTGTAAACTGTGTTTAAAAGATCTGAAGTTGAAAATCAAGTATTGTTGAATTTAATGTAAACACTCAGAGGTATGTATGTTTATAGAAATTTTAGTTTATTCCTTCAAATAATCAAAATGGAATTAAAAATGTGGATCAGATTAAATTATTATTCAATTTATTGAAAATCCTAATTTTAATTAAGATTTTGAAGGGGATGATGAATTTTAATGGAGAAATTTAGAATTCCAATTGAATAAAGTATCCCTTCTAGAGGGCAACGATAAAAGTGATAAGTTTTCATCAAAATGGTCGAAAAATACTGTTAGTCATGCTAATTTATTAATTTTAATTTAACAGCATTAAATTACTCCACCAGAATTATAATTTTACATCGAAGAAATTCAGAATGTAGAATTAAGATCAAACCTTAGAACAATGCTGAAAGTAATGAGACTGTTAGCAATTAATTGACATTTTATACAAGATAATATATAAAATAATATTGTTCTATATTGAAATTCAATTCTATTTATCCTTACAGAATCAAAACTTGTTAGAATGGAGTTTCTCAATTAGTATTTTCTTACTCAATAAAAAAGATGATTGTAAATGAGGTTGAATTTTTAAGTGATTTAAATTAACTAATTTCACCTCTTATTGATTAACTTTATTTATATAGAAAAAAAACAATATTTAAAAAATCAATTTGAATGTTCCATCATTCAATAGTTCCACCATAGTGTTATTACTTTCAATCTTATCTATTAGAATTAATTCCAATATCACTAATGGATCGATAAAATAATTCTTATTAAGTTGGTAACTCAATTCCACACATTTTTCACACTTAAAACTTATTAATAGCATCCACCATCACTAAATTCAACAAAATATTCTATCACATTTTTATAAATGTATTTCCATTGTGCCTACTCTATCATCTTGTACGTTTTGTCCATATTAAAATTGTAATTTGACGAAAAAGTAGCAAAAAATATTTAGAAAATATATATATATATAAAAAAATATTTGACATTATATGTAAATTTAATATACTACTAAAAATTTTTCCAAAATATTATACTATGTATATTAAAATATAGATATGTAAATTTTATGAAGTCATAAACCGAATTTATGGAAAATGAATTATAAATATTGATGTTTAATTTAGAACTCTTGTTGATTATTTTGAAGTGTTGTTAATAATTCATATTGTATTTTTATTCTATATTCTCAAGAATTAGATTATGTTCAAGTTTTTTGAGTTGTCACTGAATTAACAGCAGGACCTAAAATACAAAAATTTGATTTCTTTCTTTTTTAATGTGCAAAATACTTTTTGGGTTTATAGTGTTGAACATTAATATAAATAATAAAAATTCAAGAATATATTTTATTCAAAAAATGTGGTGTTATGACATCTAGAATGATGAAGATTTGTATGGGATTTTAGCCTAATCTAAAGAAATTGATGAATTATTCTTCCCAAACTTAATTTAGATATTCAAAAGGGAGAACATTTAAGATTGTCTATAATTTCTTCTATATATGCAAAATCTAAGACAAGGCACATAAGAAATAATATAGGTAGAAAATCTATAGTTTATTGAGAAGGAATGGATGCCAAATGATGGAAACAATAACATTAGAAGGATAATAAATGTTGTCAAAAACATTAAAAATCACTATTTTAATAAAGAAAATTACTCTGCAGAAGAATACTAAACAGTGAAGGAAAACCTGATCACCAATATATCAAATAACAAGAAAATCATTGAATTTCTAAAATTTTTGGTTCATCTTACTGCTTTAGATGAGAGATATATTTAGTGCGGATCAAATTCTCTTCATTTACTAGTTTAAATGAAAGTTGATTTAAAAGAATAATGTTTTGAGAATATTAGAATTAGAAATATTTCCTTAGTAAGAGCTAATTTCGCAGGATGCGATTTAAGTGGATCTAAATTTGAAAATGTCATTATTAGTGGTATAATTTTGAATTAAGCCAAATTATTTAATTGCAAGTGGAGGAATTTAGGGATGCATGAGGAAATTAAGTTACATGGGCATAGTGGAAGAGTCAATTAAGTTTGCTTTTCTTAAGATGGCAGGTCTTTAGCTTCTTGTAGTGATGATAATTCCATTATTTTGTGGGATGTGAAAATAAGAAAAATAAAGTCAATAATCAGAGGGGATGGGGATGTAACATCAGTATGCTTTTCATCAAATAATACAACATTAGCTTTTAGCAGCAGAGAATTCGTCTATTTATGGAATCCGAAAACAGGAAGATAAATAAAAAAATTAGATGGTCATTGTGGGGATGTCAGGTCAGTATGCTTCTCTCCTAGCGGTATTTTTTTAGCAGCTGGTTGTGAAGATAACTCTATTTGTTTATGGGATGTTAAGACAGGATAATAAAATGACAAATTAGATGGTCACGAATAATCGGTTTAGTCAGTTAATTTTTCTCCTGATGGTACTACATTAGCATCTGGTAGTTGTGATAGCTCGATTCGTTTATGGGATGCTATAAGAAGATAATAAAAAGCCTAATTAGATGGCCATGAAGATTCAGTTTATTCAGTCAATTTCTCTCCTGATGGTACTACCTTAGTATCTGGTAGTTCTGATAAGTCTATACGTTTATGGGATGTTAGGACAGGATAATAGAAAGCCAAATTCGATGGTCATGAATTTTGGGTTTAAATAGTCAACTTCTCCCCTGATGGTACTTTATTAGCATCTGGTAGTTCAGATAACTCTATCAGGTTATGGGATGTTTAGACTTAATAATAAACAGCCAAATTAGATGGTCATGAAGATTCAGTTTATTCAGTCAATTTCTCTCCTGATGGTACTACATTAGCAACCTGTAGTGGAGATAACTGTATTTGTTTATGGGATGTTAGGACAGGATTATAAAAAGCCAAATCAGATGGTCATGAAGATTCAGTTTATTCAGTCAATTTCTCTCCTGATGGTACTACATTAGCATCTGGTAGTTCAGATAACTCTATTAGGTTATGGGATGTTGAGACAGGATAATAAAAAGCCAAATTAGATTGCCACTCAAGTTATGTTATGTCAGTCAACTTCTCTCCTGATGGTACTACATTAGCAACTGGTAGTGGAGATGACTCTATCTGTTTATGGGATATTAAGACAGGATAATAAAAAGCCAAATTAGATGCTCATTCTAATGCTGTTTAATCAGTCAATTTTTCCCCTGATGGTACTACATTAGCATCTGGTAGTTCAGATTACTCTATCCAGTTATGGGATGTTAAGACAGGATAATAAAAAGCAAAATTAGATGGTCATTTAAGTTGTGTTAATTAAATTTGTTACTCTCCTGATGGTACTGCACTATCATCTTGTAGTGATGATAAGTCTATCCGTATATGGGATGTTAAGACAGGATAATAAAAAGTCAAATTAGATGGTCATTCGAGCTATGTTATGTCAGTTAATTTCTCTCCTGATGGCATTACATTAGCATCTGGAAGTTATGATAACTCTGTCCGTTTATGGGATGTTAAGACAGGTTAATAAAAAGCCAAATTAGATGGTCATTCAAATGGAATTATTTCAGTCAATTTCTCTCCTGATGGTACGACATTAGCATCTGGTAGTTGTGATAATTCGATCCGTTTATGGGATGTTATGACAGGATAATAAAAAGCCAAATTGAATGGTCATTCAAAAGGAATTTTATCAGTCAANTGCATGAGGAAATTAAGTTACATGGGCATAGTGGAAGAGTCAATTAAGTTTGCTTTTCTTAAGATGGCAGGTCTTTAGCTTCTTGTAGTGATGATAATTCCATTATTTTGTGGGATGTGAAAATAAGAAAAATAAAGTCAATAATCAGAGGGGATGGGGATGTAACATCAGTATGCTTTTCATCAAATAATACAACATTAGCTTTTAGCAGCAGAGAATTCGTCTATTTATGGAATCCGAAAACAGGAAGATAAATAAAAAAATTAGATGGTCATTGTGGGGATGTCAGGTCAGTATGCTTCTCTCCTAGCGGTATTTTTTTAGCAGCTGGTTGTGAAGATAACTCTATTTGTTTATGGGATGTTAAGACAGGATAATAAAATGACAAATTAGATGGTCACGAATAATCGGTTTAGTCAGTTAATTTTTCTCCTGATGGTACTACATTAGCATCTGGTAGTTGTGATAGCTCGATTCGTTTATGGGATGCTATAAGAAGATAATAAAAAGCCTAATTAGATGGCCATGAAGATTCAGTTTATTCAGTCAATTTCTCTCCTGATGGTACTACCTTAGTATCTGGTAGTTCTGATAAGTCTATACGTTTATGGGATGTTAGGACAGGATAATAGAAAGCCAAATTCGATGGTCATGAATTTTGGGTTTAAATAGTCAACTTCTCCCCTGATGGTACTTTATTAGCATCTGGTAGTTCAGATAACTCTATCAGGTTATGGGATGTTTAGACTTAATAATAAACAGCCAAATTAGATGGTCATGAAGATTCAGTTTATTCAGTCAATTTCTCTCCTGATGGTACTACATTAGCAACCTGTAGTGGAGATAACTGTATTTGTTTATGGGATGTTAGGACAGGATTATAAAAAGCCAAATCAGATGGTCATGAAGATTCAGTTTATTCAGTCAATTTCTCTCCTGATGGTACTACATTAGCATCTGGTAGTTCAGATAACTCTATTAGGTTATGGGATGTTGAGACAGGATAATAAAAAGCCAAATTAGATTGCCACTCAAGTTATGTTATGTCAGTCAACTTCTCTCCTGATGGTACTACATTAGCAACTGGTAGTGGAGATGACTCTATCTGTTTATGGGATATTAAGACAGGATAATAAAAAGCCAAATTAGATGCTCATTCTAATGCTGTTTAATCAGTCAATTTTTCCCCTGATGGTACTACATTAGCATCTGGTAGTTCAGATTACTCTATCCAGTTATGGGATGTTAAGACAGGATAATAAAAAGCAAAATTAGATGGTCATTTAAGTTGTGTTAATTAAATTTGTTACTCTCCTGATGGTACTGCACTATCATCTTGTAGTGATGATAAGTCTATCCGTATATGGGATGTTAAGACAGGATAATAAAAAGTCAAATTAGATGGTCATTCGAGCTATGTTATGTCAGTTAATTTCTCTCCTGATGGCATTACATTAGCATCTGGAAGTTATGATAACTCTGTCCGTTTATGGGATGTTAAGACAGGTTAATAAAAAGCCAAATTAGATGGTCATTCAAATGGAATTATTTCAGTCAATTTCTCTCCTGATGGTACGACATTAGCATCTGGTAGTTGTGATAATTCGATCCGTTTATGGGATGTTATGACAGGATAATAAAAAGCCAAATTGAATGGTCATTCAAAAGGAATTTTATCAGTCAATTTCTCTCCTGATGGTACTACATTAGCATCTGGTAGCGATGATAAGTCCATCCGTTTATGGGATGTTAAGACAGGATAATAAAAAGCCAAATTAGATGGTCAATCAAGTTTTGTTATGTCAGTCACTTTCTCTCCTGATGGTACTACATTAGCATCTGGTAGTTATGATAACTCTATCCGTTTATGGGATGTTAAGACAGGATAATAAAAAGCCAAATTAGATTGTCACTCAAGTTATGTTATGTCAATTAATTTCTCTCCTGATGGTACTACATTAGCATCTGGTAGTTATGATAACTCTATCCATTTATGGGATATTAAGACAGCAAAAGAGATTTTACCTCTAGATAATTTTTACAAAGATCTTCTTTCTTAGTTTAAATAGCCACCTTAAAGTCAACCCATTTTTCTAAATTGTATTTTAACATATTATTTTTTAGCAACAATAAATCATTCAAGACTCAGAATATGTCAAAATCCCATTTTGGAAATATAAGGAGCTTTAATATTGAGAGGTGAATTTGTTGATTATAAAGGATATGATTTACTTTCAAAATTTAAAACTAAAGGTTGCTTAATTTTAGAGAATGAACTAAAATAGAAACATAATTGATTATTATTAAGAAGGCATTAAATTTTCCAATATCAATTCAATTTTGTTTATTTTGTTGTTAATAATATGTCTTTTACATCATTTCATTATTTAGGAAGATATCAAGCGATTTAGGTCGCTAATTTTGGATAACAAAAAACATGTTGGGTTAGCAATTTCAAAAGATGAAATGTTTATTTAGAGCTTAATAGTGTCTGTTTAATCACTAAAATCTTATTTATCAAAAGATTGATAAATACACACTTATAAGAAGTGTTCTAATTTTCATCTATAGTTATAATTCCTTTAAATAGTAAAGAAGAAAAATATTTTAATTTTAAAAATGTATGATTTTTTATTAAGAATAGAAAGTTGAGGAAAATAGTAAAAAGAAAGTTACTTCAATGGGTAGGAATTTTGCATTATATTTTAAAGTGAAAATCAAATTATAAATTCTGCAGAATATTTATAATGTTTAGGATAATAAATTAAATCTTCATCAAGAAAAAATTTATTAATCGGTATAGGATGATTCAGTAAATTTGTTATCTAATAAAACTAAAACAAAATTGTTATTGCAAATTTTAAAAAGTAAGGTAATAAAGTTGATGGCAACAAAACGAAGTTTCCTTTAAACATAAAAAATATTTCCTCATATATTTTGTAAAAAGTAAAATATACATGAACCATTGAAACTATTAATATACAAGCAGGGTTAACTCATTTAGATTGTGCTATTCTAATAAAATGTTAAATAGATTAATATAATTTTGCAAAAGTAATCTCTATAGTTTTAGTGTTAGTTTCATGTTAATTCATTTTTATGTTTCCATTAAATTCTCTCATTTTGATATCCTTCATGGTATGTGAGTTTCTATTTCTTTACAGCAAAAAGAAATAAATCTATGCCTTTAGGATAATCATAGCCAATATAGCTTTCATCTATATATTGAACCTAAGTTAAGCTGAATAAACCTCAGCATTCAATTTTACTTTTATAATCTTTATACTTATTAACCTAACTTTAGGAAATTGAAAATTTCCCGTATTATTTTCATGAAGAGAATTGTTTGCTCTTATAGTATTTGAAATATTTAGTTAATGACTTTAGTTGTTATTAGTCTTGAATAGGCATACTCTATTCTTATATTGATAAAATAATATATTGATTTCTCGACTTGGTTGAGTAGCATTAATACCTCATAGATATTAGGAGGCCGTGAAAATATCCCGATACGGATTTACCTCTAAATATTAGTAATTTTTAACAAAAAAAACAAGATCGTGATTAAAAAATGGGGAGCTAGTTGATGCTTTTATTTTCTAGTCTTAAATACTATACTGAATGTTCTAAATCGAGTATTTTTTGTGATCCAAGCTCAAGTCTGTTATGGTATAAATTCAATTAATGTCAACATTGCTCATTTTAATAACACTTAAATTATAATTATTGGAACAGAATAGTATTGGGGAATATCTGGATTTTAAGATGGGACAATTGTTTGAATATTTTAAATCAATATGGGGAGATGGAATAATGTAATAAGGATTAGAAGATTCGAATGTTATTCAATATGATGGCTTCGATTAACATACCTTTTTATATGAAATTAATAGTTCAGAATTTATTTATGGTATCGCTAAGTAACTTATAAAGGAATGATTTGTTTAGTTAATTATGCAAGGATTTCCCTTTTACAACAAAAAAAGGTTGGTCCTTATGAATTTCATTTTTATGAATATCAAATAAACCTTAAATTCTCATCAATGTCAAGGATTTAGGTTAAATTTCTATTATTTATTTATACTTTGATAGAAATATTTTCAATAGTATGCTACCTATTCGCAAATACAACTCAATATCACCAAAGTAAGTTATTTTTGGATGTTGGAAAAATTATCCTTTGTTTGTGGAATAGAGGTGTCTTATAAGCTTCATGAAAAAACTTGAATTTTAAAGGAAATAATCTATGTTAACCTGAATTAGAATATCTTGATATTTTTTAGTATTGAATTATAAAACAAAAAAGTTTTAATTCTCAAACCCTAACTACACTCATATTATTATATTAATAATGAAATAAATATGGATATTTGAAAAAACTATTACGTTTTATAAAAAGGATCCTCATTCAAATATCATTTATTATTATTAAAATTTTTGAGACTTTTTATTCTATTTTTTTCATATATCCCCATAATTTTTCTATAAATCTTGTTGAAGTCTACTATTAAATATAGCTACAAAGTTAAAAGTTGATTAAAGAAAATGACGGATAACGGATGACATGAATGACTTAAATTCTAAAATCAAATGGCTTATATATTGAAGTGTTTTCAATAATTTAAAAATAAATTATCCAAACCCATTTCATACTTATGTTTTTAATTTTTCCGATTAAACATAATATTCTCAAAATTATTTATCAGCTTAGATATTGTTATTTTTTCTATAATAAATAATTACTCAGCTATTAAGTATTCCAAAAAAAAATGACAACGAAGATGTATTCCCTAATTTAAAGCTATTTAAATANGAGAATTGTTTGCTCTTATAGTATTTGAAATATTTAGTTAATGACTTTAGTTGTTATTAGTCTTGAATAGGCATACTCTATTCTTATATTGATAAAATAATATATTGATTTCTCGACTTGGTTGAGTAGCATTAATACCTCATAGATATTAGGAGGCCGTGAAAATATCCCGATACGGATTTACCTCTAAATATTAGTAATTTTTAACAAAAAAAACAAGATCGTGATTAAAAAATGGGGAGCTAGTTGATGCTTTTATTTTCTAGTCTTAAATACTATACTGAATGTTCTAAATCGAGTATTTTTTGTGATCCAAGCTCAAGTCTGTTATGGTATAAATTCAATTAATGTCAACATTGCTCATTTTAATAACACTTAAATTATAATTATTGGAACAGAATAGTATTGGGGAATATCTGGATTTTAAGATGGGACAATTGTTTGAATATTTTAAATCAATATGGGGAGATGGAATAATGTAATAAGGATTAGAAGATTCGAATGTTATTCAATATGATGGCTTCGATTAACATACCTTTTTATATGAAATTAATAGTTCAGAATTTATTTATGGTATCGCTAAGTAACTTATAAAGGAATGATTTGTTTAGTTAATTATGCAAGGATTTCCCTTTTACAACAAAAAAAGGTTGGTCCTTATGAATTTCATTTTTATGAATATCAAATAAACCTTAAATTCTCATCAATGTCAAGGATTTAGGTTAAATTTCTATTATTTATTTATACTTTGATAGAAATATTTTCAATAGTATGCTACCTATTCGCAAATACAACTCAATATCACCAAAGTAAGTTATTTTTGGATGTTGGAAAAATTATCCTTTGTTTGTGGAATAGAGGTGTCTTATAAGCTTCATGAAAAAACTTGAATTTTAAAGGAAATAATCTATGTTAACCTGAATTAGAATATCTTGATATTTTTTAGTATTGAATTATAAAACAAAAAAGTTTTAATTCTCAAACCCTAACTACACTCATATTATTATATTAATAATGAAATAAATATGGATATTTGAAAAAACTATTACGTTTTATAAAAAGGATCCTCATTCAAATATCATTTATTATTATTAAAATTTTTGAGACTTTTTATTCTATTTTTTTCATATATCCCCATAATTTTTCTATAAATCTTGTTGAAGTCTACTATTAAATATAGCTACAAAGTTAAAAGTTGATTAAAGAAAATGACGGATAACGGATGACATGAATGACTTAAATTCTAAAATCAAATGGCTTATATATTGAAGTGTTTTCAATAATTTAAAAATAAATTATCCAAACCCATTTCATACTTATGTTTTTAATTTTTCCGATTAAACATAATATTCTCAAAATTATTTATCAGCTTAGATATTGTTATTTTTTCTATAATAAATAATTACTCAGCTATTAAGTATTCCAAAAAAAAATGACAACGAAGATGTATTCCCTAATTTAAAGCTATTTAAATAATATTATTTAATTAAAATAATATAATATATTTCTTAATCTAAACTTTGAAATTGGGCAAATTTTCGAGAGAATAATCTAATTGCATAAAATAATTTATGATGATTTAATTAAATTAGATTTTTAATATTCAGAAGTGCAACTAACTATTTTAGATAAATTACAAAATCTTAATATAAAGAATATATAGAATCATCATTAATCTTTAGACATTATTTTAAATATATGTTTTTTTATTCTAAATTAGCTACTAAATTCAATTTATTATTTGATAAGCTTTTCATGATGAATTAATTTGTTATATTGCTTCCATTTCTTTAAAATAGTCTTGAAAAATTTGACTAAATGCACTTACATCATTTTTTCATTCATATCTCTTTTTTTAATCTTATAATTATGATATAACTATAATAGTGAAAATAACTATTTCTATAATGATTTACATCTAAATAATTCAGCAAATTCTAAGGAGTATCTTTTATACTTTTGCTTTTGCGCATAATTTTATAATTAAAAAAATATTTATTTCACTTTCTTTTCATTAAGAATTTTTTCTATATCTTTATATTTTTAAATTAAATTCTTAGTATCTCTAAGAGTCTATATGGCTAAATTCTATAGATTATCTTTTCTTATTGCTTGCAAATATCGTTTGCTTTATTATCTTACCCTGTATTTGAGTAAAGTATTGAAAGATTTTTGCATAAGCATTTTCCATCTCCCAAATTAAGCCAATTATTTTTATCTCCTATAAATCATATTTTTATCTGCTTTAGTATTTAAGAAACTAAGTATTTCACGCATAAGTGTTAGGTTTCGCTTTTTGATCAATTCTTTAACTTACTGCTTATGGTTAATTTTATAGTCGACATACTACGCCCAAAATTAAAAAATATGTAATAACCTTTATTTCTATTTATTTATTGCGTATTGCTCTAAGTAATTTTCTGTTTAATGCAATTTGAACCTCATGATGGCAAAGTATTTTTAATATAATTTCAATTTTTATTTGTGAATCAACTCTTGGTATGCAACTAAGTCATTTTATGTTCTTTAAATAAACTTACACCACAAATGAAAATATGTCTTTTTTGTGTTTTTAGTATATAATTATTATGCATCATATTTTTATATTTACTTCTGTTATAAATTGGAAACAACTTGATTCCAGGCTTTTATTAATGTACCTTTAATTCTTTTCTCTCTTTTGCTCTAACATCTAAAAAGCATAACTTATCTAATTTGAATCTATTCAATATATGCATGCCAATTTATTAATAGCAATTTCAACCATTTGATTCGCTTAGTCTCAATGAAATTAGCCACTCGATAGACATCATATGTCTTAGTAGTTTGAAGTCTCCATGCTTGAAATAGTTTTTGTAACCATTCCCTTTGTTGCTCAACATATTGAACGATCTCGGATGTTTTCAGAGAGTCAATTAATTCGTTGAGTTGTATTTCAGCTTCGCTATCGATGGGGTTCTCTTTCAATTTGCATGCTTGTAGATAGAGATCCTTCTTTATAGAGTTGGAAAGAGTTTTTGAATTCGAATTCATTTAATCGGATTATTATTTTTAAGAAAAATGGGGGAGTAATTGTGCTACCTCTTAAAATTGTTAGAAAAAGGAGGAGATTCTTATTAGCGAAGTTAACAATAATCAAGTCACAGATAAATTAATACTCTTAATAGCCAAATGAGGAGGAAGAGGAAGATCTTATAATGATCTAAAATATATTAGATCTCGTGGAAAAGAACCATGAAGGTTCCATCTAGATAGTATAGCAGTATTTAAATTTGGATACTTCTTAAAAGAAAGATGCTATTGTATATGCAGCATCAACAAGGGCCTACAAGTGAAAACTCCATAAGTTCAAGTGATTATAAAAATTGTATTTATGAAAAGATTTTAAAAAGAGTCAAATGCAGATAGTAAGAAGAGAAAGAATGAGATGATGCTAAGAATTATGGAAGATCTGAATGATATATAAGTTCCCAAGTCTGAAAACACAGTTAGAGGGAAGAGACCTTGTTATAAATTCAAAGCATAAAGTGTTGAAAACCTTAATTTTATAGAGTGGAGCATATTATCAGGGAGAATGGGTTGGTTAGAATAGAGATGGATATGGAGTTCAAATTTGGAGTGATGGAGAAAATTATGAGGAGTGGAAGAACAATAGAGCTAACAGAAGAGGGAAATTCTGGCATATAGATGGAGATTAATATGAAGGGGAATGAAAGACGATAAAGCATGCGGGAAGGGTGTCTATATTCAAATAAATGGAGCAAAATATGAAGGAGATTGGATGGATGATTTCTAACATGGATTGGAGTTGAAAGTTTGACTAATCTTGCAAGATTCTAAGGAATGTATTAACACGGTAAGAAAGGTTTTAGGAAGTATTATTGGTATGATGGATCAACACACATATATTGGAGATTGGAGTGAAAATAAGTTGAGTGGCTATAGAGTGTATACATGGCCTGATGGGAGGGTAATGAGAGTAATGTAATTTAGAGATGCGAAGGGCAATGGAATAATAGTTAGATGAGTGAAGAGGGATCTATTTTTGGATTGATGGAAGAAATATGAGGGACAGTTAATAAATGATAATTATACGGCTATGCCATTTACACATGACCAGAAGGAAGGGTATGAGTATTTATAGAGTCCTATTAGAAATATGAAGAATATTGGTCTAATTACAAATAATAAGGAAAAGGTAGATACATATTATCTAATGGGAAGTGTTAGTTAGGAATGCGGGATAAATGAAGAAGGATAAAATGGTTGGATATTTCTGAATAGAGCTTTATTTGAAACCTAAGGATTGCAATTCTTATGTGTAACTATCTTTGGGTGAGACATAATTATGATTATTTTTCTAATTAAGAAATTTGTGTTAAAATTCATTCTAAAGTTTCTTCCAATTTCGAAAATCCCAATTGCTCATGAAATTAGGTAGCATAAATTATGATTTGTTCTACACACAAGTGATCTGAATGTTTTGATCTATCAAAGACGTCTGAGCACTCTTAAAGTTTAGTGATAAATTAAGCAATTTCGTTTTGATCTAATTTAAGTAGGTGAGATTGAAAGTGTTTTAGTAAAGCAAGAGATAGTGAAATAATTGCCAGTATATTATTAGCAATCATGAAATCAAAGAAATAGAGCACCACTTCAAAAGGGAAGGTTTGAAGGAATAGTGAAAATATCCATTTCCATATATAACAATACTGTGTGATATCTTGAGCTTCAAAATGTTGATACAGTTATGGCATTTGACTTTTGAAATGCTTATGGAATATGTTTAATAATTTTGTAACAAATTCAAATTGATTCCCTGAATCTAATAACTAAATTACTTTATACTCTATGAATCATTCGTTTGATATAATTAAAGAAATTTGAATTACGGATTGATATTCAAATAATTTAACATCCAAAAGGCTTCCTCTTCATCCATTCCATTAACTAATAATAGGAATCCAGCCACTTGATTCATGCCTGTCACATAATCATTATTATATGCTGCGATAGCCTTGAGCACATTTTATAATGCTTAAGATTTTTTATTAAATTCTTGATGACCCGGTAGAGTTCTGGGTAGGTCTTTTTCAATATCACTATCAAATTAATTTTATGAAGTCTTTAACAAGGCTTCATAACACCCCGATTCTTAAATGTTTTCAACAAACAAGGATCCTTTCCATAATAGCCATCTATTGGAAGAAAGTGCTCCGTTCATAAGATACTTTCGAAATCTGGTTGGATCACTTTATTTGAATTTGCATGCAGTAGTAAAGTCTTTGATTTCAAATTGATTCCATTGATGTTACAATTATTTCAATTAGGGGTTGCTGCTTTCAATGGCTTCCTAAAACTTGATTCCTACGAGATTATTATACTTAGATCTAATTTAAATTTAATTGGTCTTTCCAATTTAGCATCCCATAAATGAATATCAATTATAAAATAATTAATAATAATATTCAATAAATCACAATTGGTCGTCCATTATGGAGGTATGTTTTAGATTCAATATTATGTGTATTTTACATATCTATTTTTACAATATTCTTGTGTTGTATTTTGATGGTTTAAGGATTCGTAAGGTTCTGCACTTCTTGAGATAATTAAAATAAGTTAAGTATTAGATACAACTAAGGTTTAAATTCATAATTACTCTCACAATTAGACTTATTATTACTAAAATGGAGATCATTTTTTGAATGGAGATTTCATAAGGAATGAAAATGTCTTGAGAATCATTGCCAAGCCATTTCATACCAATACAAAAGATCCATACAACATCTAAGAAACAGCTCATTCCAAACAAAATCCCTAGAGTTTTAATACGGTTCTCGTTTAAAGCATTAAATTCCCAGAGGATATAAAAGTCTATGATAAGGAGCAACTAAAAATATTAACACTCTCATTACATCAAAAAATTATGCCTTGTAAAATAGTATCAGTAGAGTAAGACAAGCTATGAGACCAATTAATATAGTAATCAATTTGAACTTGCTATTTTTATCCAAAAGAGGATCAGAAAAGGGCTTGACAACTTTTGTGGGATCTGCCTATTAATATGAAATTGGAATCATGGATGCAGGAGCTTAAGTGATTGGTTTCTAATATCCTTTTGTATTGAGTTATCTCCACTTAACAAAAGGTTCATAAAGAATGAAGAGATCTCTTTCATATTGCAGTAATTCTTATTCTTATGAATACACTTATTATTAGTAAGAGTTAAGTACATCTCTAAGATATTTGACCTTAGAATAGACCCATTAGATTTGGATGTTTAATTGGGATCCACTCCTATTCCCATTGACATCATATAAATCAAGCCAAATATCATGCAATTACTGATTCTTCAGATTGAATGCATTGTTGGATAAATTTAAATCCACCCTAGCAATCACGATATTCGGAGTATATTTATCAAAATCACAAACTGTCAATTTTAAGTCTTCTTTCCCAGTTTAAACAGGAAAATAGAACTTTTAGGTTTCTTTCCAAATAGGATTAGGGCCTTTATTAATAGTTGTCTGTTTTTCAAACTTATCAAATTGTAAAGTGACAAATGGATCTAATTATTTGCCATCTGCTTTGAGATTTGCAGCCTGAATCACAATAACACATAATTGACTGCCTTCCATCACTCCGAAATTATTCAATTTTTCATTCTACTAACAATAATCTAAATTAGTTTCTGTTTCTCTTTTCTGTTAATAGTTTAATTCTAAAGTAGTTCTGCAATTGTTTATTTTACTTTTCAAACTGTCTTCAGCTTTCAAAAGTATTTGAATGAATTCATTAACTGTCACTTTACCATCATGATTAATATCTAAATTAGACCATAATTCTTCAGCAATCTCTCGATCAAATTGTTTTCCAATCTAATCAACACAGAAATGAAACAAGTTATACCTTAGAATCTAAGACTTAGAACATCTCATTCTTATCTAATCTGCCATCATCATTGATATCTAATTCCTCAAATTCCTATTTCAATGATTCGTACTTTTATTAGAAAGTTGCCATTATTTTTTAATTTTTACAATAATTTATATTTCATAATAAAGTTAATGTCATTTCTTCCATTGAGAGATTGTTGTAGTTCTCTTCTTAGGTGTCTACTTCTTAGAAATTGGAGTGGTGCTGGTCTGTGGAGGTGGTGGTAATAATTTAACATTTTACGGTGAAGCTGGCATACTACTTTACATGGAAGAGGAAGTCTTTCTTAAGTATTATCCCATAAGAGACTTCAATTCTTCTTTTAATTTCATGTTCTCCTCATTCAATTCTTCGATCTTGACACTCTATGAAAATTTGGCTTTTTGCCCCTCAAATTCAAGATCCTCCAATTATTATGAGAATTCTTAAGTTTGTTTACTTTGCAACTACAATTGTCCAGTCAATGTTTTAACAGATGACTCAAGAGCTCCCACCTATTTAAGCAATTATGAATTATGCTCCTATAATTATGTTATTCTTTGATTTTGTTCATTCTTAGAGATGAGTGCTTCTTGTAATTGAGTCTATAAATTCTTAATTTAAGATTCATAGGACTCAATTCTTTTTTGATATTACATCAATTTCATATTGAATTAATCCTATTATTTTAAAATCTCAGTGGAAGGTCTATTATTTTACACGTTCAAATCATTTAGTACATGCATAATAGTTCCATTCATTTTTTATATATTACAATTGCGTTCTTCTGTCTCCTTTAACTTTAATTCTAACAACTGATTTTTTTGCATCAGATGGGCATTTTCCGTTAATGCCTTAGTCAACTGCCTAATATTATATATCAATTAATCTACTTTTTTAGTTCGCCTATTTCAGCAACGTTCATTTTATTAATAATTTAATATTACAGAATTGTAAAATTGAATCTAACAGAAAGATAGGGTACTATTGCTCTAAAATACGTATTGATAAAAGGATAACTACTTATTTCCTTTATCTTTAAGATATTTATTAAAAAAGTTTAATCACAAGCAGAATTAGAATATGTGAAATATCAACTTAAAATTGTTTGAATTTCTAGAGTAAAAGGTACCTTTATACTTGATGATAACCTCATTAAATATTATTAATTGATTAAGGGATTTTGAATTTATTATTTTAATAATACTATTAGAGAATCACTTTGGTTTATTGATGTGTTATTAACGAATAATTTGAAGGATTGAATGCTTTATCGAATTACACTATCATAAATTGATTTGAATATCATAAATTCAAGATTTAATTTTCTTGTTTAATTCTCCATTGTTCATTATACCACTATACTTACTTAATTAATGTAAAAAATATCAATTCAAATAGCAGCTTAAACCATTAGTAAACGTTCAATTTAGAGATTAAATTCTTAACATTAAACTAATAGAATTGAGAACTTTGATTTTCAATAAGAATATTAAATATCGAACGTAGTGCAAAACAAATCAGTTTAATATATTATTCAATAGTTATAAAATGTTTATTTGTTGTATTCTCAGAATCCTTTGGCACTCATAACTCTTCTAATGTTTTATTTGAAGCATGTTATTGATGGGGTTGGTCTTGATAATAAGTCTAAATGGTTAGGCTTGAATCGTTCTTTTCCTTTAGGCCATTCGACTCTTTTCTATGGTTTCTGTGGATCAGGTTTATATGTAATTGATTCAAATTCTCCTTCAAAGCCCTTTTTACCTGGATTAGCAGGTTTGAAGTTTTATTCATGTTTCATAATATGCATATCATGATGCTTTTCTTTGTTTGGAGGAGGTGCTTTTCCATCAAATCCAAAAACTTATTTGTCCTTATTGAAGTTTTCTCCTCCTGCTGCAGTAGTTTTGAATGCTACTTCCTTTTCCTTTTATTTGGCCTCCATTTATAATTTCTATGATAAAAAACTATATGGATACCAATTAATATTGGTGAAATCTGTCGTATTCATCTTTTTAATGAGGGTATCCCTTAGACAAGTCCTTGTTGGCAGGATTTGTTGTGATATTACGAGGAGCTGACCATACTCTGCCATCAGCAGTTTTATAGTTTCTTGTTCTTTTCATGTCATAGTCTTTCATGTGAGGCCAAGCTCCTCCAAGCAACTCTTTATATCCAGATGCAGGCTTAAAAGGCTAATCCTTAAATAGAATCTTCTTTGTCTTCTCCAATTCATATTACAAGTATTTTCTTTATGGATCAGTATAAGGATCACCAATAGAATTGAAAGTAGCCTAGCTAAAATAGGAGCTCTTAATCCTTCCACTTTTGGGGGCTCCAATTTTAACATTAGTAAACTCAGTGATGGGTTTCCCATTTTCACCTCTGGGAGCTATAAAAATTGAATATCAAATATACGTCTCTTTTTGAAATCGTAACTGTCATCTCCTAAACCAAGTGGGACTGGAGAAGAAAATAAAGCAAATCTTTATTTCTTAGCTTGCAATTCTGCATCTTGCAGGATTTCTTTTTTCAATTACTTATTTTACTCATCACTCATTTTACAATAAAAATATAATTAAAAAAGAAATCTCATCTCTTAGAATTATATGTCTCTGTCTAAAATCAATAATAATATATGGATAAAATTAAAATCAAAATATGGTTAAAATACAGAAGCTTATAGATACTAATACTACTATTAATTAGTCATACTTGTATGTCTGGTAAATTCTAACCTTATATGATTTTGTAGAGATATTATAAATATTATCTTAATCAACTTTTAACTTTATGACAATTTTCATATTAGTTAAGGAATTATTTCTATATATAGATTTTATAGAGTGAAGCAGATATTGTGAATTTGATGTTTTTACTATGATCCGATTGCTTCTGTGAATTATAAAATTAAGACACCCTGTATGCTATAAAGAGATGGAAATTAGAAACAAGGGGCAATGGAGGATTCTGAAGTTGAGGAGCTTGATTCAGAAGATTAAGACTGAAATTATTATGCATATCTTATTTATTTATGTGATTGTTCTCATAATTATGTTACAGTGTTCGGGACTGTCCTTTGGTACAATAACACTTGCTTTGAATAAAAATCAGGCACTGCTTAATATTCCACTTTTTGCTAATTGCTCATTTCTTATATCTTACTTTTTTATATAGATATGGGAATGTGATGCCATTAAAAGTGTTCAAGTAAATCAAAAGACTTCCCCCCACGAGCAGACCTAAGTAGGCTTGGATTCCCACTCTAGCCCCATAGTAGACAGGATTCAATCTGAATTTCAATGAAGAAGGGAAATTCTTGCTCATTTATTCAAACTTGCTATTATCCATGGCCATTTTTATAAATAAATAATAATATTCAGTTTAATGTAGTATATTTACTTTTTATTTATCTCATTTCCTATGCTTCAGACCTAATTTTAATTTCTCGATTTAGTGACTCTTAAAATAGGCTTTATTTATTTAACTCTAGTGGAACAGGTATCACGATAGAGCCGATTCAACCAAAATTTATAGAAAGATCTAATTTCTTTAATCTCCCTATAATCATTTATTAAATAAATAACTGAATTTCTATTTTGAATGAGTGAAATCAACGAGTCCTTAATAGAAGCACCTCTGAAAGCCTTACTTGAAGAGGTAAGACATTTGTAATAACTGGTAGGTATTGTTCTGCTTGGAAAGCTACTTGGAGGGCTAGAGTGACTTAAAGCTAATTGAAAATTAATTAAAAGATTACGACACATTGCCTGGCCTAGTTAAAATCATCGGCAGTGTATTCAAGACTTTGATGAAGAAAGTTGAGAAAAAGATGACACTACTAAAACTTAATCTAAACGATAATAGTTCTCAACAAAGTTATCATCCTGAAGAGGAATATGAAAAATTGGAGCAAATTATACAAAAATACGAAGCAGAAATAAGAGGACATTTTAGTGTAACATGAGTTTGATTAGTTCTTTTAGATTGAATAATAGCTTAAGCTTTATAACGATAGTTTACTATAGAAGATAGAAGATCTGGAAAAGTCCCACAAGGAAACAATAGAATAATTAAATAAAAAAATTTATGTATGTGGTTCTAATTTAAAATTTAGGCCTTGAAAAAGGATCTCGGAAAGTCAACAGAGAGTTATCGGTAACTTATAAAAGAGAATGAATAATTACGAGAGTCAGTAGATCACCAACACATTGTACATACAGATAGTGAAGTAAATGGTAGGATGAAAGATAAAAAGTAATTTGAGCTAAATTTATTAGTTTTGTCATTCAGATCATAGATTGAAAAGAGCTGACTATAGTAGTGAATATCCAGCATCGATTGCTAATCTATATCCTTAGAATTCTATGAGAAATTCTACACCGTTGAAATCATAATCTCAACATCATAAATGTGGAAAGTTCAATAACTAAATTCAGCGTAGGAGCACTCAAGAACAGGATTTATTTACTAAATACAACCAATTGCTCAAATAACATGCTTAATCTATCTCTTAAAGATCTTAGATTATTCAAGCAAGTCAATATTTACTAAAAGGAGGGTTTACAAATAATCAGAAGAACACAAGGAATACTTTGAATGTTATTTCGGATATTTGTAATGCCTAATAGTAAAAATCTTCTTAAAGAAATAAAAGTCAGGGCAGCAGTTCAAAGGCAGGAGGCACTAGTTCTCAAAACCATTTAATCACAAACCATAAGTCGGGACCTCATAAAATGATATCAGACACATCTAAAACTAATGAAGCCATATAAAGATTACTAAAACTCAAATGATTTTTATTTAAATAAATTATTGTAGTTATAGAAATATAATAAAATTCAGTTATTGTCTTCAGATGAATAGTCATCAAATTGAATGATATCATTGAATTCTGATGGAATCAAACTATCTACTAATTTGTTGATATATAACTATCTTGTATCACCATCTATGATTTTATATGAGATCCATATGCTTTATCGTTTATCATCATTCGTCAAAGCCTGCTGTGAATATAAATGCAATACTTATTCTAACTTTTTTATGATACTCTGGAAGTACTCAATTTCATCCTCTGCCGCATATTAAATCCTGTTAATCAATCTTTCTTTGACATAACTCCAATTCTAATGCAAATCTTCTATGCTTTTGATTGGGTCTTCTTCAATCACGCTGTTTGCAAAGTTCTAAAGAAATTTGATATAGATTATAAATACTGTAAATTTCTCCTCAGAAAATAAGTTATGTTCTATTGAAAATGTAATGAATCTATCAAAGGACATTGCTCTTTCTCCCTCATTGTTCGATATTAAATCGCATCTGGATATAAATTATCTTTCCATAATGCTCTCAGGAATTGAATTACCTTGGCAAGACTCAAAATAATAGTATAATTTCTTGAATTCTTAGTACTCCATCATATTATCTAAATCCATATCAGCAGAATTGAAAACTTCTTAATAGTGAGTCATGTGCATCTTCTTAACGATCTAATAACCTAAACAATAAGAAAACCTTGTACCTGTCAGAATTCTGCTGATGTAATAGTCATAGTCAATGTAAGGCTTCAAATTTCTCTCGATGTAATTCATTTTGATATCTGAGATGATATTATTTCTATATTCCTAGGGTATTTAAGAATGGGTCTGATCAAGAATCTGAATTGCTTTTTCAACCAACAGAAATTATCCCTTGATTTAATGAAATTTATACTTTATCTGTGTCCAGTGTTTGATTCTCGTCATCCAACTACTTTAAGGTTTTAATGTATATCTCGAGATCATCTACTGTCAATGAACTATAAAGTTGTAAGAATCTACCAAATAAGTTAATTCTTATGTTGTCTCTATGCACAAATATTGACTCATAAAAACTAGTCAATTTCTGTTCTGCTATGTTTTTAAATCCATATGTGTTAAAAAAGTATTCATAACAAATGATATGCAATGATGTTTTATTTTATGTTTATTTTAACTTTTCTCCATAAAATTAAGAAATGAATTTTAAGACAGTGCCCTTTTTCATTTTTGAAGTGATCTCCTTTTAATTAGTAGCAAATTTAGTAGCCAATTATTTAACTATATTGTTTCTCAGCATATTTAACCCAGGACTGTCAATAGACTACTTATTTTAGAATTCTTATTATATTTAGAGATCTTACTTGGTGCTTATGAAAAATATGATTTCTTAGTTTGTCCAATCTTTCTTTTCCTTTATTTGATCTCTTCTAATCTCATGTTATACTCTGAATCATCGCTATCTGAATCACTAGAACTGAAGTTCTAATTGATAAAATTTGCTATGGTTTCTTAAAAGAATTGGACCTAATCATTTTGCTAAGGCATAACAGACCCTTTCTTCTATATTTTCGATCCCTTTTTTGCTCCTTGATTAGAAGGCAATTGCTATTATTTAATATTATGTGACATTTACAATTTTATAAGTAGGCCTTGGCTTTGAAGAATTAGATGCTTTACTTCTTGGAGTCAATTACATATCGGTGCCTTCCTATTATTTTATTACATAAATAAAATACTTCTTCGCTTTACTATTAACTAGGTTATTGACTAGGTAGCTGAGATGGAAATTTCTACAAGGCAAATTAGTTATCATCAGGTTCAATTACAGAGATGTTATATTGAGAAGAGAATTGTTTTTCTTATTAGACAGAAGGTAATTCTAAAGTATTTTAGGATTAAGCGTGTCGATATTACATTACTTGTTATTATTAAGGTTACTGAACTAAATTCTTTTTACTTGATTATTTCTTCAAAGTTGTTTTTTCTGGAATAGGCAATAATTCCTCTTTCTTTTCCAATTAAATTTATTGATCACTTTGTTAGGTTTGCATGGCAATCGCAGGCTAACTATTAGTGATCAGAGATCCTAAAGGAGAAACGTTTGAGATTCTTGATTTTTAATTGCTTTAAATTGGACCAAGTGTACTTAATCTTTTATCTTGAATTCTTTTTTTCATGATTTCAGCAAATTTATGAGTTTAGGTGAGTTACACAACTAGAGTTTAGGATTTTTCAACCATGTTCGTTTTGATGGACTTCAATTTTTAATATTTTTTTTCAATTTTTTCATTAATCTTTATACATATTATAAATACCTTTTCATAAATTTCCAATTGATTTTCCAACTCTCCCATCTCTTGATTGGCAAGTTCATTAGCTCTTTCTAACTCTGCTACTTTTTTTTACTTAATAAAATAAGATATAAGTACATATTATTATAATTGCTCCTCCTTTCTATTATTTTCATCCTTAAAAGTACTATTAACTAAAATTAAATTAGTCCTGACTTCCTTTTATTTACTTATGTTTTCTTTCATTGAATTTTAAAATTCATCTAGATGATCATATAACTCTTTCAATTTAGGTTGTTGTCCCTTCTCAATTTAATGTAATATTTATTGGTATTGTTCTGTGGCTTATTAGATTGCTTCATGCAGTTACAAAAGATGTTCTTCCTCCAATTTGATAGATTCCAAAAGCTCATCTGTAAATTCTGTTTGAGTGATCTTAGTAGATTTATTTAAGTAAGATATTTCAGTCTAAATGATTTGTTGTCTTCTGTCTCTCAATTCAAATCTACTCATTATTTAAATACATACTTAGGAATTGAAATGGTTAGACTCTTCTTTTCTATTGTTTAGATTTCTACTTCCTTTCTCAACTACAATATCTAATTTAAATCATCTGTATCTGTAGCTCTTTCCTCTAATAATATCTCGATATTGCTAAATGAAGCACTATCATTTAATATTTTTTGCATTTTCTCTTGCTATGTCGGTTATTGTTCGACATTCTAGAAACTCTTTCTCTTCATAGGCTTAATCACAGGCAGTTGATATTGTGGTATCTAATGAATCACCAATTGTTTTTATGTTCCAGCCCTCATAATCTTCTTCTTAGCTAACCCTTATTCATACTCTATTTTTGGTTGATATTGGTTGGACATTTAAAATTGTTCATACTGAAACTGCACATTTCTTTAGTACTCATGCAAATCGTCAGTTATCTTCTCTATCTAATCAGAATATTGTTTATTTTCAGTTTTCAAATCCTAGATTTCAACTTTCAATGCCTTAATTTAAGAATTCAAATATCTATTATTTTTTTTCAAATATTTTGTGTTTCCTTTCAACTTCATCAATCTTTCCATAATTTAATCCATATCTGACTTTTGATTCTTCAAAATCATCAAATACTTGTCAATCTCAGTTTGATACGCTTAATGGGTCTTCATTACTTCCTATAAATGATCCTTCTCTAATGTGTTGTTTTATTCGAGAACTGACTAATAGACTGATTAGTTTATCTCAATGTATTGATTCCAAATCTTCTCCAAAAGCACACTATTATATGTTAAGATATTCTACCTCTTCTCAATACAATCGAATGAAATCTACCTAATCAACTCCTTCAAACAAAGAGTAAAGATTTATTATAGATCCTCGTACATATTTGCTGATTGTCCTTGATTTTTCTCAACAGCCTACTCAAGCATCAGGTCAGTCCATTCTGCAAGCATTTGGACATCGTGTCTAATTATTGAATTATTTCCCATACTTGAGGGGTATGCCTCTGTGGATCTTATCTTTGACCACTCTTTTAGTGAGATTACTGGAAAATTTAGATAAAGGAATGACCTTATCCATTTGCTCTAATGGTAGAACCACCTTAGCTTAAGAGATCTCTATCTTTTCTATTAATATACTGTACTTTTGGATGGATTCCATGGCAATTCCTCCAGTTTTTTAGGGTATCTATATGGATCCTAACTATTCAGTTAACCAAAAAAATCATTTTTATCCATTCTCTTCAATTTGTCTATTTAATCCAGCTGACCATCTCTCAATAGAGGCGACTAATAGTAGGTCTTGAATAATCAGTAAATTCGTACAGACTAAGAAATAGTTTTAGATTTTTCTAATCTTGAACTTAAAGAAGGCTAATTGATTTCAGTTTTGACTCTTTGACTTTGAGATTGGTATTGGGAATATTGTGTATTGATCTTAATTAGCCTTTCAGAATTTTAATTTGGATTCTTTGAAATGAATCCATTCTTGAATTAATGAAATTTAGTCTCTTCCATTTATAAATTAAAATAAATAAATATTTCATAATGCGGATGTTAAAGTATTATTCCTTCGAAAGTAATCAAAATGTCGATTAATTCTCTCCACATCTATAATTTTTTAGAAATTGCAATCCACTTATGAGTATCTGCTTGATAGAGTAATACACAGAATAACAAGTCAGGTAAACACTTCATTGTATTTTAATTAATCTGAATATACACTTTACATTAAGTGATTATATAGTTAAATAAATTTTGATTAATTACTCTAAAGTTTAGATCATAAATTAAAAGATCTAAGAGATATATAATGGAATCTAGTTTTGAAGAATAGTCTTTACATTTGAACGGGATTTGTTCTTTATTTTTATTACAAATTTGATTTTTAATTATATAATTTAATAATCAAAAAGGCTAATTATATTATTAGAACCTTTTATTCGAGGATCATAATACTTATATTATTGTTTTTTACATTGAGTTCCAAATATTACACTAAATATTTCAAGACTTCTTAAAAGTTAGATGCTAATTCATTCTGATCTTGCTTAGAACTAAAAACAATAGAGATATTAATTAAGATATTTAAATTTCAAAGATCTAAGTTATGAACTCTTTTTTGGACAAGAAAAAGATAATAGAGAAAAGTCTTAATTATAATCCTTATTATTTGGATTTCAACTGTATATATGTAATTAATTTAGTTATGTGATGTCTTAAAATAAATGAATAAAAATCAAATTTTGTGTTAACATAATTTAACATAATTAATTAATGTTATAATTGGTACCTCATTATCATGTTGAAATGATGAAAAATAACTTAAAAACAAATCAATACTAATTATACGAAGCAATAGAGGGGTAACAATACGAAATTGCTCTAAGCATTTTGAATGATCTACATTCAAGATCTACTTGGATTAGTGGAATTTACCTAATAATGAATGGATATGAATTGGATTAAAACGTCATAAATAAGTTCTTGAAAATAGTGGATGAATAAGATGAAATTGAGATGACAGAATATGAGCAATTAGCATTGACTTAGATTTGTCAATAAATAATGAATATTGAAATGATCATACTTTTACACAAATATCACTTGGATGGCTGGATTTAATTATCTCCCAAGATTCATCTATTTTTGAGGAAATCTATCCATCCACAAGTACCTCAAATATTCATTGAATACTACATTAAATAAAATATAGAATTATTAGAACAACACGAGTAATCTTTTAATGAAGACTTTGTATGGACATTACATGATTTCAGAACATTCTATAAATTGATGCCTTCAAATATTGCCCATCCATATTATAAGCTTATTCAAATTTCTATTTACGTGAGAATGCTTGATTTGGAAAATGTGCCCTGCCCAATCTCTTAATAAGGCATCCCTATTCAATACTCATCAAAATTGGAAGAGATCCTCAAGAAATTGGCAATTAGCCCACACAAGGATTGCTTGGAATTGTTCATATTTTGCTTGATTGAAATTGGGTTGTTAAGAATTGTAATAAGAAATATGAAAAATAATTTAACTTAGGAATAATTAACATTAATAAGAAAATAGTTTATAGAAGCAGCACTCAACTCAAATTATATCGTGGATATAGAAGTGTTTTCATTATTAGATAAAATTTAATCATTTGATTAAGAAACCAAAGTAGAAGTGTATAAAAAAAACCCATAATTTTATGAAAACATCGACTCTTTGGATATATTCGACGATGAATCAGTTTTGAATGGACTCCTGCATAATTTCAATACTCTAGAGAATCAATAAGTATGAATCAATATCTTTAATTTAGAAAGTCATTTAATAGTTAGTCTAATTCAACTCAATTAATACACTCAAAGCTATCTGGCTATTATACATAGATGGAGCAACTCCTCGTTTAACAAACGAACCCATTCAAGAATTCAAATTGAAGAACTTCAAATGTCTCAATGTATTTTTCCAAATTCAATATCAACATAATTACGAGCATCTGATCGAAGCCCTAAAAGTAACAGCCATTTGTATTTGGACTGATAGAGAAATCAAGTAGGAGGAATTAGAGGATAAACAATTGCTATCCTATCTTAAAAGTTGCATAACAAACGAGAATTGCTCATCATTATTGAAGCTCTTATTTAGTATATCAAATGGAGTTTTTGAAGAAAATTATGATATTCAATAAATATAAATCCAAGTCCCTTATTTCTTAGAACTATTGACTATTTTGCTATTTGAATAAAAGGTAGATGTGAATTAGAAATAATTTTACTTGTAATAATTATTATAGTTAACTTAAAATCTTGAAAATGTGTTGATTATTATGAAAAGCTAATTGGTCGAAAGACTCATATTCTTCCTCAGAATTGAGAGTGTGTATTAAGAATTAATCATCTAAACATTAATAAATTGTATTAAAGTGAGATTTTCATTGTAATATCTATAAGCAATTGCATAGTTTATGTCACCCTACTCATCTTTGATTATGATACCACATGTTGATGAGAAACAAAAGCTAATTTAATATAGAAAGATTGCTTCTATCTTAGGTGTTCCCCCACAATCTATTGAATGCGGATCAACTTAGTAATAAAATTATATTTAAGAGCAAATCGCTAACAAAGATCTTTTCCTAAAAAATTCAACTCTCTTGCTTTATTGTTTAAACAAAGTGATCTCTATTTAAAATGATTAATATTATTATTTTACTGGACATGAGAGTGGTATAATTTTGAAGGGAAAGATGTAATTTGAAACATAAAATAATGTTTTCTCCATTATCATCCAATTTAAAGGATAACTAAAATAATCAACACTCTTGAATTGGGGAAATCAGGATATTAGTTTTTCAGTTGCAATTGAAGATCCTTAATTACTCAGTATCAGATACAAATACTAAAACACTTTGAAAACAGCAAAATACTCTTTGAAATATTAAGAGAACTTCATTGTGATTAATTTCAACTAAAACAAGGCTTTTTAAGTGAATATCAACGGGAATGATGTTTTGGCAAGACAAGCAGATTAATTTGATAATTTTTAGATACCTGTCCTAAACTTCTTTGCGGTTGGTGCAAAATAGAATGATTACGACACACTTAGTGATTCTTTTAGGGGAGAAATGAGACTGCTTTACATTTTAGATTAAAATATCAATGCTGAGGATATGTACATATTAGAGAAGAAATCTTAGAATAATTCAGTTTTATTTTCATAATTACTTAAAATGCAAATCAAGGGCAGAATTTTATTATATTTAAATACTCAATCCTAAAAGTAAGATTTATAATTCGATGGACTCTTGCACTAAAATAATTAAATATTAATTGAAAATTGTTAGTATTTGATGTTAAGGGGAAGAAGGTAGAAGCAAACCACGATATCTAAATTGATGGGCAAGTTGTTTTAATAGAGGAAAAGCTTAAATTCATTGGATGTTTCCAATCAGAATTCTAAAAATGTATTATTCTTAGAAAACACTACTTTGCTTGACGTTATGAAGTCTTATGGTAATTTGGATATCCTTTTCTTCCCATTGCATATTTTGAATGATCCCCAATGTGTAGTTAGTGTTTTATAATTGCTTAACACAATCATCCAAAAGTTTGGAGATGATAATTCAATTTAAAACTATTTGAGATCTGATTCATAATATAAGGGGATTAAAGTCTTAGGATATTTATTAACAGTTCATATGAAAACTTAAGGATGCTCAATTCAGCTATTGCAGTAGATACTCAATTTCTATAATTCTTTGTTACAATGTTAAATAATTCAAGTATTAAAGTAAGATTGCATGTGTATCTATCATGAATTTGAATTTTGGTAATATTGCTAATATGATATACTGTTATATCTCTATTCCTATCTATTTGAATAGTTATAAAACAATGAAGAATTATTCACATATTTCAAAGATTAAGTGCAGATCTTGTATTATATTTTACAAGTCCAATTGATATCTTATGAAGAGAGTAAAGGAGATCTGTAAACCTATAATTAAACTAGAAAGATGTTGATTAAATGTATCTTGTACCTTATGTACAACCCATTCTTTTAAATGCAATTTAGTAATGATCAAATCCTACCAATACAGATGATAATCAGAGATAAAAAGAATGCGTCTAGTGAAAAATTATAAGTATTAAAAAATGAGATTGTTCTGATACTAAATCATCTGACACTAAAAACTATCAATGATTTAGTAGTTATGTTAGGTTTCATAGTTAGAAAACCTTAAAATACTTTGATTTTAGAGTTATTAACAGATATAAGACAAGGGAATCAAACTACCCAAAAGGAATCATTATTGGATGTTATGCAAAGTCAATTTGCTTTAAAGATGGAGAATGAGGATACGATTTTATAGGTCATTTTTAAAATAATTTATGGTGTAATTATTGAAATGATCAATCAAAATACTCTAGATGATCAATTATTGGGTCCGTTAATGGACATTTTAGTGAAAGTCCAAGTTCATTAAATCAATTATGAATATAAATTATTGGAACTTTAACAAGCCAAGAATTCTTAGTAATAATAAAAGACCAAAGAATACAGTGCTATAAAGTCATTATTCAATAAAATTAATTACATTTTATTTGAATTAGGCACTAATTTGATTTGTCGGTAATAAACATTTTAAGTTTTGATTAATGTATAATATTTATATTTATTTAGATTAGTTATCAAGTTTGGTCTTAAGATAAGAGTTGAATTTAGAAAAAGAAGTATTAAACCTATTGTTATTGCACTTTTCATTCTACAATCTTGAAACCAAATAATTGATAATTGAATTTTTCCTCTAGTCTTAAGAATACAAGGTGTTTATGAATTAATTATGCAATCATAAAGAACTCATGAATTTCATTAGAGAGTTGATTAATATAGAGACTGGGTAAACTCTCATTAATTACATTGTCTTACATCACATAGACAACATAGACTTTTCTGCTAAAAAAATACTAAAACTATTTAATATGATACAATAACAAAATAATTAATTTATGAAA